ATATTTATATATCTATATATCTATATATCTATATATCTATATATCTATATATCTATATATCTATATATCTATATATCTATATATCTATATATGGAGTATGTTATTCAGAGTTACAGAGCCAGCCAGTATATACACAAAATAACAGCAAAACTATTTAGGGGGGCTTGGGGAAGAGAGATGGAAGTGTAAATCCTTACTTATCAAACAAAACCAAGAAATAGCTGAATAACTATGTGGTTTGGAAGTAAATCACAGAAAATAATAAAAGAGAAATGGCTAAAATAGTTCAATATGTTCCCCTTTGGACTTGAAAAGACATTTCTCCAAAGAAGATATATACACGAATGGCCAATAGGCTCTGGTAATAACAACATTACGAGTCATTAGGGGAATGCAAATCCAAACCAGAGTGAGAAATCATCTCACACCCATTAGAATAACTCTTCAAAAGAACAGAAAACAAGTGTTGGTGAGGATGTGGAGAGATAGGAACACTTGTGCACTGTTGGTACAAATGCAAAATGGTGCAGTTGCTATGGAAAATTTTTTGACTGTTCCTCAAAAAATTATAAACAGAATTTACCACATGATCCAGCAATTCCACTTCTGGGTATGGGTCCAAAAGAATTGAAAGTAGGGCCCTGGCCGAAACCGGTTTGGCTCAATGGATAGAGCGTCGGCTTGGGAACTGAAAGGTCCCGGGTTCGATTCCGGTCAAGGGCATGTACCTTGGTTGCAGGCATATCCTCAGTAGGGGGTATGCAAGAGGCAGCTGATGGATGATTCTCTCTCATCGATGTTTCTAACTCTCTATCTCTCTCCCTTCCTCTCTGTAAAAAATCAATAAAATATATTTGAAAAAAAAAAAAAAGAAAAGAAAGTAAGGCCCTGGCCAGGTTTGTTCAGTGGTTGGAGCATCGGCCCTTGGACTAAGGGTCACCGGTTCGATCCCTGGCCCTTTGGGGGGCCCATGAGGGAGGCAACCAGTTAATGTCTCTTTCTCTCTCACACTTCCCCCCTCCTTTCTCCCTTCTACTCTTCCTGAAAAATCAATGGAAAAATATCCTCGAGTGAGGATTAAAATAAAATAAAGATTTGAAAGCAGACATGTGTGCACCAATGTTCATAGCAGTATTAACAGCCAAAAGACAAAACAGCCCAGATGTTCTTCAATGAATGGATAAATAAAATATGATATACAGAGTGGGGAGTGAGCAGGTTTACAGTCATGAGTATGCAAAAACACCAGAGTTTATTCTTGTTTATTCATTACTAGAGACCCAGTGCACGAAATTCGTGCATGGGTAGGGTCCTAGGCCTGGCTGGTGATCAGGGCCGATCAGGGCCTTCCTTCTCCAGCTGCCAGCTGCCAGCCAGGGCCTTCCTTCCTTCTGTGCCATCCCCTGGTGGTCAGCACACATTATAGTGAGCGATTCATCTCCCGGCTGAACTCCCTTGGGGACAATGTGCATATTAGGCATATATATATATACATACATATATATGTATATGTATATATAGTATTATTTTCCATATGAATAACTGTAAACATACTTTTGCCCATCTTTATACTATAATAGGACATTATTCAGCCTTGGCTCAGTCGGCATCAACCTACGAACCAGGAGGTCATTTTCGATTCTCAGTCTCATTCCTGTGCTCCCATTCCTGGCTCGGCCCCCAGTGTGGGGCATGCAGGAGGCAGCCAATCAATGGTTCTCTCTCATTATTGATGTTTCTATCTCTCTCCCTCTCCCTTCCTCTCTGAAATCAATAAAAATTTACTTGAAAAAAGAAAAAAGAATATTATTCAGCCTTACAAAAAGAAGAAAATTCTGACACATGCTACAACAGGGATGAACCTTGAAAGCATATACTAAAGTGAAATAAGCCAGATACAAAAGGACGAATACTGTATGATTTCACTTATATGAAGAGCCTAGAGAGTCACATTCATAGAGACAGGAAGTAGAATGGTGTCTACTTCCCTGGAGGGACGGGGCATAGGGAAGATGAAAAAGTTCTGGAGATGGATGGTTACACAACAATGTGACTGTACTTAATGCTACAGAACGGCACACCTAAAATGTTAAATTTTATGCCCTAGCCAGTTTTGCTCAGTGGATAGAGCATCAGCTTGCGGACTGGAGGGTCCCAGGTTCGATTCTGGTCAAGGGCACATGCTTGGGTTGCGGGCTTGATTTCCATTGGGGGGCATGCAAGAGGCAGCCAATCAATGACTCTCTTTCATCATTGATGTTTTGATCTCTCTCTCCCCCTCCCTTCCTCTCTGAAATCAATACAAATGTTTTTAAAATTGTATTGTCTCTTTTACCACAATAACAGGAAATGATTCTATTTGGAGCATGGAACTGAGAGGAGGTGTAATGCAGAGAACTGTTTAAAAGCCTTCTTGTTTAAAAGCCTTTTTCTTGTATTTTCCTAAGACAACATACATGCTTTATCTTAATAATGTTTTGGTAGCAGGGACCAGTACGTGAGTCTTTTCACTCTAAAGCGATGAGTGTGAAGGGCTTACACAGGCGTGTGGTCAGCCTGGGAATTCGGCTCTGCTTCTTTTTCTCTCAATGACCTTGAGCAAATATCTCCTCCTCTCTGATGTAATTTTCATAGCTCTCTGTTGTAATCGACTGTTCCCAAGGAGCATATAAAAAGCGCCCCTTTTAAAGAATTTTCTTCACTGTATGTCTGAGAGGGGTGTGGTGTGCTAAGAAATACCAGCGAGTTGGGGGTGGGGAGGGGAGGAGAGACAGCTGGCAGCCACATAAAGGAGCGGAAGGTGAGGAAGAGCGTTTTAATTTTGAAAGAAGAGATGAGAGTGACTTGGAATACAATGCTTGTATTTTGCCCGTTAGATCCAATACCAAACAGTACATAACAGTAGCCAATACCAAAACACAAACGAAACAAAAGGCTAATAAAAATTGTTCTAAAAACGAAAGCTTCTGATTTTCAAACGGGAAGTGAAAAGAGGGAACTTGTTCTGAGCTGCTGTGTAGGGTAAACTTGATCACAACTGATAACTGAAGGCAGATGCGGGCCGAGGTGATCTGAAACAATCAGTATTTTCTTGCAGAAAATCGAAAAACCAAATAAGCTGCGATCACAGCAGCTGCCAAATGTTGTGCAAGCCTTGCTTTCATGGAGTGTGGGACAACAATCTTCCTTTGGATGATGTCATTTTTAACTTGGGTCAAAGTCAAGAGCTAAAGTTAACGGTACAGTCTTGGAAAGAGACCCAGTGTCTTGATAAATTAGGACACATCCAATGTATCTCCTTTTCCTGGTTCGTGGTCTCACAGACACTCACCGAATGCTGACTCCATACCAGGCACCACGCTGGGTGCTCAGGCTGGAGAGCTGAACGAGACAGGGCGTCTGTCCTCAGGGAGCTCCCTGTCCAGTCAAGGCAACGGCTTGCCAAGCGCTAATGTCTTACTACCCAATTGCTCTTGTCTACGTCCCAAAGCTCAGCACAGTGCCTGGCTGGGGGCGGGGGAGTGTGCCCGAGGATTTGTGACATGAATAGGCCACTGCACTGACTTCATTTGGTCTCTACATCTCCCCTCTGAGATAAGCTTTAATATCCCCGTTTCAAAGATGAGAGAACTGAGGCTTGGAGTGAATAAAGTGCGTCATCCATTCATTCAATGAACACCCGAAGGAGCAACTATCGTGCATCAGACCCTCAGATGCTGGGGATACGAAGATAAAATATCTCTGCCCCTCACAGTCCAGAGTGGCGGGCAGACCCATCAAAATAAGTATAACTAATATTTATGGGGTTCTTACGAAGTGCCAGTCACTGTGCTGAGCTTTGTGTGTGTTTCACTCATTCCGTCCTGTGTGTGTTTCACTCATTCCGTCCTTCCCGAACCCTGTCAGCTAGGCATTCTTATGCCTGATTCTCATGCTTTCATAGATGAGGCACAGTGATTGCTTAAGGTTTCATCAGGAGCAAGAGGCAGAGCCAAGATTAATTAACCCAATTGGTATAGTCCCCACCTTAGCCACCAAGTTCTATCATCTCTGACAATCAGGCAGCATAAAGGGCATCGTCAGAGCCCCAGAGCGGGGCTTCTCAGTCTGGGGTTCAGTCTCCCAGGCAGGGACGGGGGCTTAGGAGGAGGCTGCGGAAGCAGGCTGGGCCAGACTAGAAAGGAGAGCCATCCATAGCCTAGCGGTCGCTGGAGGTTTGAAGGGTTTTAAGCAGAAGGGAGACCTGGCTACATTTGTAGAAACATCATCTGGGCAGCTGCGTGGAGGTGGATGAGAGGAAGAGAGGCTCAGAGCAATCCCAGGTGCGAGTTGGTGGTGGCCTAGACAAGGTCGGGGGCAGTGAGGAGGGGATGCGAGACGGGCAGAGGTTGAGTTTTCTGGAGGATTTGGAGATTGTTGGGTAGAGGACAGGAGCAATTCTGAAGGACACACAGTTTCGGCTTCTCATCCAGGAGAATGGGGGTGATCTCATGAGGTCAGTTTTGGACGCAGCCCAGGTCTTCTGGCCCCATTCGCGAGCCCTTTCGCCCCGTAACGTGGTCAGCAACGATGCCCGCAGACGTGCCCCCAAGTCACCAGGGAACGCGGCGGCCCCGCCTTCGCAAAACAACTCGGTGCCTTGAACCCCACCCCTCTGGTGTTGGCGGCGCCTGCAGTGCGAGGTCCCGGGCACCAGAGGGCGCTCAGGCACCAGCTAAGGCCACTCTAGCCCAGCGCGTCTCGGTGGCCGTGGAAGGTGACGTGGACACGGAAGTGGTCGTCGTCGCGGCGGCACCGGTGGGAGCGGGGCGCGGGCATCAGAGTGCGGCCGGCGGGCAGACGGGCGGCGGAGGCTTTGCACCGGCGGCGGCAGCGGCGGCGGCGGCGGGCGCAGGCGTTATCGGTTGGGGGTGCAAGACCATTGAGCCCAAGGGCGGCTTCTCGAGCATCTCCTGCCGGTTGCAGCCCGAGAGAGACGGGACCGCTCCGCCGGCGTCACCATGACCAAGGCCGGTAACAAGGGCGGGAATCTCCGCGAAAAGCTGGACGGCAACGAGCTGGACCTGAGCCTCAGCGACCTGAACGAGGTCCCGGTCAAGGAGCTGGTCAGTACCGTCGCGCGAGGCCCAGGCGCCCACCGTGCCTGCCTCCGGCCCTGGCACGGGCCGCCTCCTTCCCCGTCCCCTGCCTCCGCTGTTAGGTCCTGAGATACGGCGGGGAGAGGGGGACGGAGGCCCCCGGGAGGCCGCGTTCGGTCCCGGGGTTCTTCTGGGATGTACACGTGTCACTTTGGCGCAGTTCCAGAGATGGGGTTTGGGGGAGGGGGGCTGCTGGTCCGGCCTTTGGCTTTGTGCGGGTCAAGAGTAAACCTGCCCCCTGCCCCATCTGGGCGGTTTTCACCACGCCCGGCTCCGTGCCGGACCCCGGCCGGGTAGGCGGCCCACAGAGCGGCCGCTGGAGGTATTTGGAGAATGAATGAACAAATGAATGAATGACGAGGTCTGAGAAGTAGGCCTCCAGGTAGACCGGGGTGTGGCCCGGAACCAGGGCTTTCTAGGGAGCCAGCAATCCCAGGCGGCCGCCCCAGCCCCGAGGCGTCCTTCCTGGAAGAAGGGGAAGTCTCCCTGCGTGGTTGGCAAGGTCTCTCCAGCCTACGGGACTGAGACTGACCGGAACCCCCGCTGCCCCGGGCCCATCCCTCCAACCCCTCTACTCCCACCCTCCAGGGAACCGAGGTCTGAGGCCCTTAGGAGATGACACAACTAGTTTGCCAAAGTGGAGTGAGTGAGATGCCCCACCTGCACCCTCCTCGCTGGCCTCCCTTTGGATGACGTGGACTTTTCACTGCCTTTGGCACTGGACCCAGTCTCTTCCCTCCGCCGTGGCTGTGTGGTATGGAGATTAGCACGGGATTCCCAGTTAGCGTGTCAGCTCCCCGTTGCTTCATAGCTGACTGTCCTTGGCAAGCTAGTTCACTTTTTTCCCCCTCCTAGATTTCCTCATTTATAAAATGGTGATCATAGTTCCCATCTCATAGAGGTTATGAGGATTCGGTGCAATTGTGATGTGATGTCAAACAGGCAGGTAGCAAATGCTGGGACGTGTAGGTATTAGGGCTTTCTTCCCACTGTAAAATGTAAAACTTTTTTAGGTGGTCAGACTTTAATCCTGGGACTTGCTGACCATTGGAAAGTGTAGGTTGGCCCAGGGTCCTTTATCTGAGCTCTTGGCTTCGTTCACACCCCAGGAGGATGGCCAGCCTCGTTTCCACCTGGCCGAGGCCTGGGAACCATGTGCTCCAGGCGTCTGGTCCCACAGCATTGCCCCTAGGGTTAGGTGACCAGATCGCCCCGCGTTTGGCGGGACAGTCCCGATTTTCAATAATTTTCCCCTGTCCTGCAGCGTTTTAAAAAAGTCCCGATTTTTTAAAAGATTCCAAAAATCGGGACTTTTTTAAAATGTCGTGGGAAAAATCGTTGAAAATCAGGACTGTCACCTTACTGAGGGAGAAAGAATCGTTGGTTTTGCTGAGCTTCTCCAGTCCTGGACACCAGGGGAAATGGAGATGGGCCCTGAAGGCCTTATTTTCACTCTGATAGTCACTCATTTACTCATTCATTCATTCACAAACCGGCCAAAACGTATAGTGAGAGCCCAGAAGGCCTGAACTAAGGAATATGAAAATTGCAAAGCCGTTATTAGACTAAGTCTCTTCCTTTAAAATTGATAAGGAAGAGTGCTAGAGAAAATATTAGAAATGCGAGGGAGAATTCCTTAAGTTCTGTTTTCCTTCCTTGGATGTTCCATAGCCAAACCTCTGTTTGCATTCTTCCCTAAGTTTTGGTTGATGGGCTCATTTTTCCTCTCCTATTTCTAGGTATGTTATACTTTAGTGTTAATTTTTTTTTAAAGGCCTTTCCTGATCATGGGAACTGGTAAATGCTTCATCGGCAGATGTCACTGAATCAGTTCATGTGTTGATTTGATGTTTTGTTCTCATTCCCTTTCCTAGGCTGCCCTTCCGAAGGCCACCATCCTGGATCTGTCCTGCAATAAACTGACTACTCTCCCGGTAAGATGGGCGGGCAAGCACAATTCCTTCTGGAGCCCTGATGCCTCATCTCCCTTTTGAGCAGTGTGTCTTAGGCATAATTTCAGAACAGGACTGCAGCCCGCCTTTAACTAAATCTGAGTTGGGGGTGTAGTCGTCTCAGTGGGAAGGAAGGCAGGGTAGGGGCCTTGTTCTGTGGGCCAGTGGGGCAGTCAGCTGCAGAAGACTACAGTCAACAACAGGATGCTGGCCGAGCCCCTTACTGGGCTCATCCTTTTTTCCGACTGATATTATCACTTTGTAAGATAGTTTATCTCCCTGCTGCATAGAGAAGACTGGAGAACTTCTTAAATTGCTCGTTATCTGTGCAGCAGTTAATGGGGAACAGGAAAACGTGTGGTCGTATGGGCTGCTGTGTCATTATCCTTTCAGTCTTCAATTGCTTGAGATAACTTTTTGTTCAGCACATCCAATCTATGGTCAAATCCTTTTGCTGTTTCTTGTACCAATTCTCCTTTGCTGCACCTGTGTAGGCGCTGGCCTCCTTCATGCCTTCAGCCTCTCCTGGGCAATGGCGGCTTTCTCCTCTATAGCGGTGCTCCTTCACAGTCAGGTCTACGTGGGGGGTCATTGTTGTCTCTCCTGTCCATTGCCCTGGCCAAGTCCCTTCTTGCCTTTTTCTAATATTCACTCATTTGCTCAGGAATCCAGTCTCACGTTGGCAGTTTCTTTACGGGGTCATTAGTCCATTCCCCTCTCAGTATTCACCTGCCCTCACTCATTTTCTGCAGCATCATCCCACAGCACACAAGAACCATGTTTATTCCCGAAAAAGGCATCTGAGCTCCCCCACTTCTAGGAAGTAGTTTGTGCTGAATTAAAGGGCAGAATTCCTTGCAACCTGACACCTGCTGTGCACTTTGTCGGATGGCCCCTTGGCACTCCCAAGTGTGCTTTTCAATCAGTTGTCTTGCCTTCCTCTGCAGTGCAGATCCCCTGGCGTAAGTCCCCTGGCGTAGGTCCCTTAGCATTCACAAGTCCCCAGAGAACAGGGATAGTACCTTAACGGCTTAATGACAAGAGGGATGTTTTGACATGAGCTGAAGAACAGCCAGGATATGTAGGGTGTGCCTCAGCCCATTCAGTCAGTCATTTAAAGAGCCCTCACAGGGCACTTGTGCTAAGTACTGTGCCAGGTGCTACAGAAAATAAAAAGAATAACTGGCATTCAAGGGGCACTTGATTCTTTTAGGGAAATGGATGATCTCACTATGTTTTGACAGCTCCTGTGAAAGATGAACATAGGGTGGTGTGTGAGGACAGAATGTATCTCCAGTCTCTCTAGTAGTAGACGGAATGTGGAGGAGAGGTTAGAGCAGTGGTTCTCAACCTTTCAATATAGTTCCTCATGTTGTGGTGACCCCCAACCATAAAATTATTTTTATTGCTACTTCCTAGCTGTAATTTTGCTACTGTTAATGAATTGTCGCAATCCACAGGGTGAGAACCGCTAGCAGGTTCAACTAAGACCATCAGAAAATAGATATTTACATTACGATTCATTAACAGTAGCAAAGTTACAGTTAGGAAGTAGCAACAAAAATAATTTTATGGCCGAAACCGGTTTGGCTCAATGGATAGAGCGTCGGCTTGGGGACTGGAGGACCCGGGTTCGATTCCGGTCAAGGGCATGTACCTTGGTTGCGGGCATATCCCCAGTAGGGGGTGTGCAAGAGGCAGCTGGTCGATGACTCTCTCTCATCGATGTTTCTAACTCTCTATCTCTCTCCCTTCCTCTCTGTACAAAATCAATAAAATATATTAAAAAAAAAAAAAAAAATAATAATTTTATGGTTGGGGGTCACCACAACATGAGGAACTATATTGAAGGGTCGCAGCATTAGAAAGGTTGAGAACCACTGGGTTAGAGGGAGAACTAGGGTGAAGGGACCCACATTTATTTTGGCTGCTTTGTGCTCAGCCCTTTTGCATACATATCTCACCAGTGACCACCAGGAGTGATGCTCATTGTGTCTGTTCTCGTTGGAGAGGGAATCGCTGGTAAAAAGCAGAGTCAGGATTCACACCCGGGTGCCTGAGCTGGGGGCTCCGGGGCTGTCGCACCAGTGTGCGCGCCCCAGGCTCAGGTGTTCTCTCTTTGCGTCCTAGTCGGATTTCTGCAGCCTCGTCCACCTGGTGAAGCTGGACCTGAGTAAGAACAAACTGCAGCAACTGCCAGCCGACTTTGGCCGTCTGGTCAACCTCCAGCACCTGGATCTCCTCAAAAACAGACTGGTCACCCTGCCTGTCAGCTTTGCTCAGCTCAAGGTAACAATTCATGAACCACTGCTTCATGGCCAGGGATGGCACAGGGCTCAGGGACTCCTAGACCACGGCTTTGAGAAGGGCTGGCCGGAACAGGTGCTGCCTCATGGCGTTTCCTGTGGCTGGGACCCAGCGGAGCTCTCCCCCACTCCTTTATTCCACTCAGAGGGACTCAGGGTGTGAACTCAGGCCTAACCATCTCAATGCCCATCTTTTCCTGTTTTAAAATTTTTTATTTTTGCCCTTTCTCTTCAGAGCCTGAAGTGGCTGGACCTGAAGGACAACCCCCTGGATCCTGTCCTGGCCAAAGTGGCAGGGGATTGCCTGGATGAGAAGCAGTGTAAGCAGTGTGCCAACAAGGTAAGCCCCCCCCCCCCCCCCCCCCCCCGGTCTCCTTCACAGACTCCTGGGACTTGCTTCTGCCTCCTCTTGTTTTCCCTTCCAGGGCACCTGTGGTTCTGTGGTGATTAAAGTGATTAAAGTGACATTTGTCTACTATGAACCTGGCAAGCAAAGAGACCTTTGTTTCTGTGTTGACTTTACAAGTAGTAGAACAGTATTAGTTTGGCTCTCACTGCAGGCCTTCCATTCTTAAGAAACCAGGACCTCCCTGATCCAACATTTCACTGTCACTGTTGTTTCAATGGGGCAAGAGAATTAGGGGCAGTGGCCTTTCTGAGTCACAGAAAGGAACTTTGATAATAAAGGTATTATTTGTATTTGTGAGTTTATAGCTATAAACAGACTTAGCATTTGATTTCAGTCGAGTCATGCGAAATAGCGAGGAAACAAAGGCAACATGGAAGGCACACATTGCCAATAACCTTGAAGACTCCTCACATGCTAAGAACAGCACTGCTCCCATCTCTCAAATTCCCCACCTGCAGCCATTTTCCCTTCCAGCTTCAGAACGGGGCACCCGATGACTGGCTTTACTTAGGGGGCGTGCTGAGCAAAAGGCCTTAACTTTATTTATTTATTTATTTATTTATTTATTTATTTTTAAATGCCATTGTTCATTAAGTCCAAACAATGATGGTAGAATTCTTTTTTTTTTTTTTTTAAATATATTTTATTGATTTTTTACAGAGAGGAAGAGAGAGGGACAGAGAGCTAGAAACATCCATGAGAGAGAAACATCGACCAGCTGCCTCCTGCACCCCCCCCCCACTGGGGATGTGCCCGCAACCAAGGTACATGCCCTTGACCGGAATCGAACCTGGGACCCTTCAGTCTGCAGGCCGACGCTCTACCCACTGAGCCAAACCGGTTCTGGCAAAAGGCCTTAACTTTAAAAGCAAGAATTAATGTAAGTGGAACGTGCGTATGATGGGTCTCTATGGGAATCTTGAGAGAAATGGACCTTCTTATCATTAGCTTCTTAGATAGTCCCATCATCTGTACCACCTATTACTGTAAGAAACCAACAGCAAAATAAAGGCAGCCGAGGAACCAAGGCGACAGTGTGCCCGTAGCTGAGGACACCTCAGGTGACCAGTGACGTCCCCTTTTGAAAACGTAGTACTTTAGGAGGGACGCTGGTTTCGGAGAACAGTGGTAGCTACCGCTGATTACTCTCTCTGTACTGCTTGCTCCGTGGGAAATATGTGTTCCTATCTCTGACACTAGGCACTCTCGTTGTGCACATGCCTTTCATTTGTCCATTTATTTGGTCAACAAATAATACATTGAGCCGTATGAGATTGCTGATACTCTACAGTTAGTGACCTATAGAAACAGTTTTTATTGGTCTTTAGTACTCCCATATGCCTTACAGACAAAGCTCCAAGTTGTGGTAACTAAGCCATCCTTCCGGCGTGGCTGCCCCTGAGCTATCTCCTGCAGCACATCTTTAGGCCTTGCTGGGGACTGGCCTGGGCCACTTTCCATAAATTAGTTTAGATCTCACCTCACGTGGGTTAGTTGTCATTCATCAGCTTGGTACGTAGTAAAGAATCTTTTAAAAATGTTAGTTCAGCCGGGACCGGTTTGGCTCAATGGATAGAGCATCGGCTTGGGGACTGAAGGGTCCCAGGTTTCATTCCGGTCAAGGGCATGTACCTTGGTTGCGGGCAGATCCCCAGTAGGGGGTGTGCAAGAGGCAGCTGATTGATGACTCTCATCGATGTTTCTAGCTCTCTATCTCTCTCCCTTCCTCTCTGTACAAAAATCAATAAAATATATTGAAAAAAAAATGTTAGTTCAACAGTGTTCATCAGGTGCTCACTATATGCTGTGAACTGTGGTAAGTAGACAAAATCTATCTCTAGGGCATGGATGGGGAACATCTGGCCCACAAGCGTATAAGGCCTAAAAAACCATTTGGTCTAACCTTGCTAAGGCATTAGGGGTGAGTTAATTAAATGTTTGACTACATATAGGCTAGTTTTCAAATTGATAATTTTGTATGGTCTGTGAAAAATGTTATAAATATCCAAATGGCCCTTGGCAGAAAAAGGTTCCCCCTCTGCTCTAGGGCTTACAATCTAGATGAAAAGAGTCCCTCCCATTTCTGAACTTGCTGTGTTTTCAGATAAATGCAAGTTACTCCGATATAAAGATCAAAGAGACGTCTCTTAAACCTCCTAGCTTCTTCTTTAGCCCGCTGTATATTCCCTAAAACCAACCGAGTGGTTGGTGCTTATTTAAAATTCAGAGTGACACAGACTTTACCTTCCTCCAGATCCTGTAACTCCTCGTTGAGAAGCCAATTTTTAGGATATTGATTCCCTTTGGAGAGAAGAGATTCGACTCCTGGGTTACACAGGATGGTTCCTTGTGACTTCAAACCAGGCTGTTGGAGGGAGTTGCTTTGGCAGGCCTGCCCCTGAGCCCTCTCATGATGGCTGTGTGCATGTCTGAAGTTCCCATGAAGTAAAATAATTGCACATGAATACATGTCCTGTAGGGTGTCTAGTGTGGTAGTGAAATGCAGACCATTTGCTGTTGTAATTTACAATAGTTTAGATATTTCTCTCCTCATTAATGCAGTTAGGAAGATGAAGTAAAAAAGCAGCTGTATTTAGTGAGCACACATAATGCCAGGGCCTAAGTTAAGCAGCTAGTACAGGTTATGTAATTTAATCTTTGCAACTACCTGAGAATTTTTTTTTAAAATATATATTATATTGATTTTTTACAGAGAGGAAGAGAGAGGGATAGAGAGTTAGAAACATCGATGAGAGAGAATCATCAGCTGCCTCTTGCACATCCCCTACTGGAGATTGCCCGCATCCAAGGTACATGCCCTTGACCGGAATCGAACCCGGGACCTTTCAGTCCGAAGGCCAACGCTCTATCCATTGAGCCAAACCGGTCTCGGCAGGCCTAAGAAGTCTTATCTCTGTTTCCCAGATGAGAAAATCAGCTCAGAAAGGTTAATAAAAAAGAAAGAAAGGTTAAGTCACTAAGTCACTTGCTAAGGTCACACTGTTAGTAAGTAGGAGTCAGGATTGTATTGGGCTCCAAGCTTGTACTAAGTCCCCTACATCCAAGGAATGGCAGCTGCTAAACAAGTAAAAAGGTGTTTACTTCCTCCCTTAACTGTGCCCATCCGGAGAATCTCTGTGGTTAAATTGGAGGTCAGCCCCTCTGGTGCCAGTGGGTGGTGTGGTGTTTGGGTAGAATGGCTCCTTCCCCTTCTCCTCAAGCTCTCCTGCCTCTGCAGGAGGAAGTGGAACAGGCTCTGGGCTGGGAACTCAGAAGACCTGCCGTCCCAGCTGTGCTGCTTCCAGCCTGCAAGGCGTGGACAGAGCACCCCGAGTCTGTTTTCCCCCTTTTGAAATGGGAATCCTGTTACTCCTATGCCCAGTCTGTCAGCTGTTCATCAAACATGTACCGAGTGCCTATAATTAGCTAAGCTCTGTGCTTGCCTACAGTCAGGACAGTAGTACCTACATTTAGGAACTCAAAGTCTTGTAAAGGAGTTAGATAAGAAAGCTGCCCGGGACTGAGGAGAAGGGAACATGAGGAGGGAGGTCGGAAAGCATCTTGGGGAAAACTGCTGTCCCTGCTCATCACAGAGTGGTCCATGTTCGGCACAGAGTTGCTGGGAGAATCACGCAGAATTATGAAATTGCACGTTAGAGACTAAATGGCAGGGTTTTACAGATTCCAGTTGTCACTGAGCTCAGTGTTTTTCGTGACGGCTATAGTGAACTGGGCTCACAGGCTCTTCTCCGGGGATTGGCACTAAGGGTTATTAGCTCCTAGCTCTGCACGGCTCCCGAGGCTTGTGGCGATCTGGGATCCTGGGAAGAGCAGTCTGGAGACGTCCTGAGCCGCGTGGCTGTGGGCTGCTGCGTGGAGTCGTTGAGCGCCCTCTTCTGCCTTTGCAGGTTTTACAGCACATGAAGGTCGTGCAGGCGGATCAGGAGCGAGAGAGGCAGCGGCGGCAGGAAGTAGAGCGCGGTAGGTGGCCATCCCGCTTCAATCATCTTCGGGGCCCTGGTCCCAGCCACTGGTTCTGCCTCAGGAGCTGGCATCCAGCAGAGGCGTCATGCAGAGCAGCGGGAACAGTGTGGGGGTAGACAGTATCATCTTTATCTGACCAACCTCATTCCGATCTTGGTTCCTCCACTGAGCTTGTCACGTTCAACTGCTTGTCTGTCTGCCTGGAGGATTGATAGGCATCTCAAACTCAGCCTGGCTAAACCAGGTCCTGGCAGTGTTCCCCAGGAGAGGAAATCAACATCCCTGCAGTCATTCTAGCCGGAAATCAGAAAGTTTGTCCACGATTCCTTTCTCCTGTTACTCCTCTCCCCAGTCTGTCAGCAGGTTTGTATGAGACTGTCCCCCACCTCCGGGGCCAGCACCGAAATCAAGCCTCCACCCCGTGGACTGCCACAGTGTCTCCTTCTCTGCAAAGTCCTTCTCCACACAGAGGAATCTTTTTAAAACAAATCAATTATGCTGCTTTTTGTTTAAAACCCTCTAATGCAGTGGTTCTCAACCTTTCTAATGCCGCGACCCTTTAATACAGTTCCTCATGTGGTGACCCCCAACCACAAAATTATTTTTGTTGCTACTTTATAATTGTAATTTTGCTACTGTTATGAATCGTAATGTAAATATCTGTGTTTTCCAATGGTAAACAGTGGCACTGCTGAAGAGCCTAGGACCATTGGAAAACAGGTATTTACATTACGATTCATAACAGTAGCAAAATTACAGTTATGAAGTAGCAACAAAAATAATTTTGTGGTTGGGGTCACCACATGAGGAACTGTATTAAAGGGTCGCGGCATTAGGAAGGTTGAGAACCACTGCTCTAATGGCTTCCAATTGAACTTAGAATGAAACTCAAACTCAGTAACATGGCCGTCAAGACCCGCCACGGCCCACGCCTGCTTGCTTCTCCAGCCTTCTCTGTCTCTCTTACACACACACACACACACACACACACAGACTACAGTTAACTTCAGCCACACAGGCCCCTGCTGTAGCTGGAACACAGCAGGTAGTCTCACCTCTGGGTCTTTGCTTGGCTTCCTTTTCCCTCAGATCTTCCCACAGTTGGTTTCTGTAATCCCCATGTCTCTGTGCGAATGTTGCCTTAGGTGAACCTTCACCCTTTCCGGACCACCCAAACTAGAATACCACCCTCCATGTCATTCTCCATCTCGCCCTCTAGCATTTAGTCTGTGGCACACGGCATTTCTGTTTTACTGTTTGCTCACTTGTTTATTGTTCGTCTCCTCTGCAGGGTAGACGACTTGGGCATTAGAGCCTGCTTGTCTTCACGGTTGTCGCCTGAGCACTTAGAACAAGGCCTGGCGCCCAGGTGCTCTGTCGCCCGGCTGGCTGGCTCCTGTGGTTAGAGGCTCATGTGGTACTGATGGCACGCAGTCCCTGAGATCCGAACTCGGAGCTACGCCTGTCCCTTACAGGCGCATGGCTGCTGTGATGCCGTGTTTACTCCCACTGCTTCCCGGCCAGGCTCTGAAGGCCGAGTGTTCTTGGCATTCCCTGGGAGCCTGTTTGTTCAGAGGCAGTGGAAAGCTACCGTACTTATAGTGCTGCTATTCAGCCGCATGATGGCTCAAACAGGCCTTGAAGCCCTAAAAGGACATGTAGCCACCATTTGTGGCCTCTGGCTTTGGAAAAATGTACTTCAGGTGTCCAAATAGCGAATTTGGCAATGCGTTTTCAGAAGCCAATAATTTGTAAGTTGGGGACTGCGTGTAAACATCTTTGAACTGTGAAGTAAAGCAGAATAAGTCTAGACATTACAAACTGTTCATCTTGCTTGTTCAGAAAAACATTTCCATTGCCTCTAACCCTGAACCCGAGTGCTCACTTTCTCTTCTTGCTTGTCCTTCTCAAGCCACAGTCCTTCCCGGAGCTCGGGAGACAGGAATCCTGTGGACTCAACACCTCCATTGTTGCTTCTGCTCAATCGCTGTGCTCTCTGAGCCGGTACCTGTTCTAGGGGAGCACTGGCCTCATCACGCATGCCTTGTGCCCCTCGTTAGCTCACCCTGATCTCTTCGCAGCTTGTGGCTAGAAACCCCCTCATGAGTCCGTCCTTCAAACCCCGGAGCCGCTCATTACATTGTAGGGAGGGCAGGAAGGCAGCTGGCTCCTCACGTGTCCTTGGTGACCCTTGGCCTAGGGGATGGGAGGCTGAATCCACGCTTTCAGTCGCTGGGGAAAGCACACCGGGAGGTGTGGGGAGAGAAGCCATGTGGGATGTCTTTTCCTGTAGAGGCGGAGAAGAAGCGGGAGGCCAAGCAGCGAGCCAAGGAGGAGAAGGAGCGGGAGGTGCGGAAGCGGGAGAAGGCGGAGGAGAAGGAGCGCCGGAGGAAGGAGTACGATGCCCTCAAAGCATCCAAACGGGAGCCAGAGAAGAAACCCAAGAAGGAAACAAATCAGGCATCGAGTAAGCGTTCCCTCGGTTGTAAGGCTCCGACAGGGGCAGTGGGGAGACGCACGGGTGTGTTCAGGCGTGGGTGAACGAGCGAGCTTGAAAGCTCAGTCAGATACAGAGACCCCTCTGGCCTGGGAGCACCTCGGAGGGTTTGCTTATGAGGAATGGGGGGTTCTCTTTGGGAACAAGTGTCTGGCTGGCTTGTTTCCCCACGGGCACGTGCGGGGTTTTGGTCAGATGTGGCTGAGAGCATTCCCAGGACAGGGAATTGCCCTTTTTGTAATTACCAAGAGCTAAAATTACCAAGAAAGGTTAAGGATGCAAGAAAGGTGAAGGGACTCTTAAAAGTCCCTCGCATCATCCGTGGAGCACACGGGGGGTGTTTTGAGAGCGTGGTGCTGGCCCAGGAAAGCCAGCACTGCCTATGGCTTTCTTTCCACGTTGGAACACATTACTCTCTTTCTGCTTGAACACCACGGGAGTCATTTGGTCCGTGTTTGGGGAGCCATGTGGTATAAAAAACACCTTAGTGTTTTGCCTGAGTGTGCCCAGTTGAGTTTGTGGTGTTATGTGGCTCCATGTACCTGGGACGGTCGTATACCCGCTGGGCCAAAGGGACCCCCGAGCAGGAGCAGCTCTGGAGGGAGGCGGAGGCCCTGCTCGCCCTCGCTGGCCTTGAGCAAGGTGCCTAACCTCACCACCTTTTGGTTTCCTTGTGTAAAACGAGGATCCTCCTCCTTACAGGGCAGTGACAGGATGAAGGGATAAAATCATGGCTTCTTGGCATGAGGGTGCTCAGTCAGGTTTTTTTAAGTGCTGCCTAGTAATTTCAAAACCGTTTTTTTCTAATTATAAATGTAATATACATGTTCATTGCAGAAAGTGTAGGAAGGTTCTCTCTAAATAGATCAGAAAAATGGCAGTCACCCTCATTCCCAGCAGTAATCACTGTTTTTATATGTATCTTATACAGGGTGGGACAAAATTAGGTTTATAGTTGTTCCTATGGAAAATAATCCATATTTCATAACTGATAATACAAAAAATAAGCTGTTTCACGGATTCAAAACTATTCAAAACCTACTTTTGTGCCACCCAGTATAATAATTAACAATATTAATACATCTCAGGCTCTGGCCGGATAGCTCAGTTGATTAGAGCATTGTCCCAATACACCAAGATTGCGGGTTTGATCCCAGATCAGGGCACATACAGAACCAATGAGTGCATAAATAAGTGGAATAACGAATCGATGATTTTCTCTCTAAAAATCAATAATTAAAAAGATAAAAATCTTAAAACTGCTTCCCCAAGTGGGCAGCCCTCCATCCATGCCTCCTGACAAGCCCCTCCCCTGATCCTGAGAGGCCGGGAGCATCACCATGTTTTCAAGGACTTAGGACTCTGGGGACTGTGCACACCACGTGAGACACCCAGAACGAGTTCAGTCTTGAATGTCTTCCCTTGAGTCCAAGGAGAAGGCATTTATGTTTCAGTCTGCACATAGCAAGTTTTTAAGAGCTCGGATGTTCTTACAACAATATTCATGCCTGAGAGGGGTGTATGTGGACATTGAGTGGTAGACAGTGTGGGTCTCCTCAAAATGACTGAACTCTTTTGTCTACTGTGACTGTCACTCCAGAATCCAAGTCCGGCTCTCGGTCCCGGAAGCAGCAATCCCGGAAGCACACCCGGTCCTGGGTGGTGCTGAAGCTGCTGCTGCTGCTGCTGCTGTGCGTGGCGGGCGGGCTGGTGGTGTGCCGGGTGACGGAGCTGCAGCAGCAGCCCCTCTGCACCAGCGTGAACACCATCTACGACAATGCCATTCGGGGCCTGCGCAGCCACCACATCCTCCAGTGGGTCCTGCAGACCGACCCTCAGCAGTGAGCGTGTCCCCAACGCCTGCTGCCTCCCAGCCCCGGGACTTGGATTCCTATGGAATTGGGTTCTGCTGGACACAACCTCTTTTTAGCGTCAGACCTACCTGCCGTCATTAAATGGCTGCTGATTGGTACTCGAGACCTCCTCTTTGTAGGACTTCTTTGTTCCGTAGTCAGGGTTCCCTGGAGGAATAAGGAGTGGGAGTTAGGGAGAGGGAGTGACCGCAGGCCTAAAGGAATAGGCTTGGGGGTGGGGAGAGGAACAACAGCCTTTTCTGGTTGTTATACGAAACTGTTCAGGCAAGGCTCATTTCTAACTGGTCAGCTGTCACTACATTTACACTTTTGTGTGTCACAAACCCTTTCATTCCTCCCCGGGGACCCGGGGCAGATCAGGAGGCAGCGGGTTGTTACTGGGAATTAGGACACCATGCTCAGCAAATCTAGCCTAAATCGGAGGGGAGGGGCATACCTATTTTCTTAAGGACCTCAGGCGTTCAGACATGTTAATGACCACGCAGGCTCAGGCTCAGAAGGGGACTTCTAGACCATGCAGTCCAATAGAACACTAGCAGATAAGGAACGTGAGACCTCCCGTGACTTGCTTATGGTCTCCCAGCTGTTTTGAGGGAACGGACTCCCACTCTAGTATTCTTTCTTTTCCATCATCTTGCCTTCCTTACCATGTCCTGAGAGACCAGAATGGTATCTCTCGGCCAGAGTGTGGAATCTTTCATGTAGACGGATTCATGGCCCACAAGTAGAAACCTCATAGCCTTGAGGGACTTGGGCAGCTCCTGTAGAATCCTGTCCCGATTTATGTGGCTTCCATACAATGCCTCGATTTTAGAGCATTAACTTCCCCATTGCCAGTAAACCAGACGTAGCCTCACAAAGCCGCCTCACAAAGCCTTCGCCTCTGTGACAGCTGTTAGGAGTTGGTGTGACTACCTCCAAGGCAACCTGAACACTCCAGTGTCAGAGACTGAGGTTCAGAATTGTTCGGTTCCAGCCCCAGAACTTACCTAGGCAGCGAAGGGAATCGAGGAGCATCGAGGCATTTAAACGGGGTCAGGAACTCCATTGACTTGTGCAATTAAGGGCATGGCTGTCACTCATTTGCCAGAGTAAGCGTTTTCTTGCTCACTGGCCTCTGCTTCTTCTTTGACAACAGCTGGATGTAGGGATCAGGGATGGCTGTGTCATGGTGCGTGCTGAGACTCCCGATTGCAAGTTCCTTGCCCCTCACCGAGGACAGCAAGGAGCTGCTGAGGTTCAGGGATGAAGAGGACGGGCCCCAGCTTTCTAGCCTTAGTGGCCCAACTGGATAGGATCGCCAGTTGTGACTATCCCGATCCTGGCAGAAATGACTTTTCTCCCCTAAGGATAGCTCTGCTGTGTAGGCCCACACCTTACTCTGGATCACTACGCATTCCTTTAGTCTTCCTCCAAGCTCCAGAGCCACTGGTACAAATGCTTTATTGAAACTAAACACATAGTACATAAGAAAAGACTGAGAGAATACAGAAGTCCGCACAGTATCAGACCCGTTCCCTGGCTGGTTGAGGCAGCCTCCGTGGGCCAGCAGGGCTGGATACCCAGCTTAGCAAAGCCAACCCACCGAGGGCACTTCACTCATGATTTCAAGCCTTGATGTTGAGGTTCTTTTGGATTTCTACAACTATTAAATACGTGTCTGAATGGTCTGTCTGTGTTTCTTTGTATTTTGAGGGCTGGCTGGGGCAGGGGTGGCTTATGCATGGCACTTGATTTTTGCCAAGAGGCAAAATGAATGCTGGTGAAGAAAACAGCAAATCTCAGCCAGCTGATAAGTAGGAAGACTTCCACAATGGCACCCAAGAAAGAGCCTGGTGTGGGCCTGACCTAGGCTTGTGTTCCAGGAGACACTTCCCTCTCTTCATTGGTCATGTCCCGAGGCAGGAATCTCCAGCTTTTCACCCTGTCCCTTGGGGCTAGCTTCAGTCTGCACCGTCTAAAGAGAGATCTGGCTGCAACGTGGTCATCTGAAGGTAGAGACGCCTGGACAGATCCGGTCCAACACGGCGGGAGGTAGATGTCACGCCTTCCCCACGGCGCACCTGTATGTCTGCAAGCAGATTCTGGCGTTCTTGCTCTGAAAAGCACCGCCTATAAGCCTGAGGGTGGAAAATGATCTCAATACCACACCATCCAGTCATCCCTCATCGAGGAACAAGGCTGTGGTGAGCTTGGGTTGGGGGATGGGAATTGTCCCCCCACCCTGGGTCAATGTTAACTCAGGTCTCAGCAGACCTGCATGTTGACCTACAAGGCAATCTTGGGCCCTCACCCATGCTGTCAGCAAAAACCATCTGGGAGTCCCCTAGCCGCAGGGCACGGGGTGGTGGACCCTGGAGCAGCATACCTGGACCAGGAGCTGTGGGGAGGGATAGGCGGCCACAATAGCACTGGCCATTTCCGAGCTCACTCGGTTCAGCTGCTGAATCTGCCGCTGCCAGACCTGAGCAAGGCCCCTGCCAGCGCGGTCCACCTTCGCCCCGCCAGCCCAGTCACTCTCCGGGCAGAAGGAGAAATTAGTTTGATCTCGGAGTTTCCTGCAGACAGCAGGGATGAAGAGATTTGGTTACTTTCCTGTACCTGTCCCCTAACTGGGATCTTAAACTCCTCCCTCCAGGGACCTTGAAAGAGGTGGGCACAAGGTTATATCTTTCTTGCTCACTTTGATCCTAAGCAATGCTAGTTACTGATTCCCATAAAACAACATCTAGTCCTTTTCATTAAAAGGGAAGGTACCAGGAAAGTGCCAGAATCTTTAGTGTATGTGGAGATTGGGCTGCACTGGCTAGAGAGGCAGTGCACACGGTCGGACACCGGGGCCTGCGTGTCGGGCATTGCACAGTCCTGTTCTGGTTCTAACTTGCTAGGAGCTTGGCTAAGGCAGTCTCTTCAGGCCTCAGTTCCCTCAGGTAGAAAACAAGGGACTTGGATTAGATGGCCTCTGAGGTCTCATGTAAATTCTGACTGGGAACACTCCTTGAGCTAAGTAGGCTAAAACTTTCCTTTTTATTTATTTATTTTATTTATTTTTAATATATTTTTTATTGATTTTTTTACAGAGAGGAAGAGAAAAGGATAGAGAGTTAGAAACATCATTCAGCTGCCTCTTGCACACCCTCTTCTGAGGATGTGCCCGCAACCAAGGCACATGCCCCTGACTGGAATCGAACCCGGGATCCTTCAGTCCGCAGGCCAACACTCTACCCACTAAACCAAACCGGTTTCGGCAAAACTTTCCTTTTTATGAAAGGCTCTCACATTGTGACCCAACCTACAAAGCATCCTGGTAACTTTGCCTACTGGTGAACCTGGGCCAGCCGGCAGCACACACACACACACAAGCTAAAGCAGAACATCTGAAAGGGCCTGGGCTTGAGGGCTCTTCCCCAGAATCCCCCTTGTGAGGACAGCTCTTGCTTCGAACCCGAGACAATGGACTGACTGAGTTTGGGGGGAAGGGGCATCTTTGGGACCAGAACGACTGTAAAGGACCAGAGCCAGCAGCGGGCTGGCATTTGCCTGGGCACTTACTTGAAGGGCGCCTCAGCCACGGCCTTCGTGAACGAGCACGCAAAGTCGGCCAACTCTTTCCAGCTCTGCACAACTCGAGCCTGGGCTTGTGTGTGTAGCTGCAGGTCCACCAACGCCTAAAACCCAAAGACACTGGACTGGAAGGGCGGCGAGACTAGTCTGAAGTTTTTCTTATCTCCATGTTCCCTGAGGCTTCTCTCCTCCCTGTTCCCTACCCCGTGGCTCCTGTTTAGCCCGTCCTCTCCTACTTAGTCCCAAGGCAGAACACTAGCCAGCAGGCATGTCACTCTTTCCCAATAGCAAATGGGGTTAGTAGAATGGATGCCCCGCCTGACACAGGCAACAGTACGCTCTTACCTCCTCCATGTCTACCCTGGACACCGTGGGCTCTGAGTTGGCCTCTGGTGGTCTGTGTTTCTTCTTCTCCTTGGCCTGTTCTCCGTTTGCCACTCCCTGTTTCCTTCTCCTTGGAGGATGTGAAGCACTAAAGCAGGGGAGGAAATCAAAGAAGGAAAGCAAGCACCTTCAGGCTGAGCTGAGGCAGAAGAGGTACAAGAAGACCGGACCGAGCATCCCACAGGGCTCGGCAGGAATGCTACCTGGCAGAAGGATCTAGATTTGGGATGAATAACTTCACCCCTGTTGGCCCAAGAGCTGCCCCTTTTGATGCTAAGTCTTGACAAATCCAAACCTGAAGCGTCTCTCCTGATCCACAATCACCAGTGACAGAGCTTTTCCCGCTGTTCGTGCCGTGATGTCTGTGACAAAGCTCCGAAGCGTTTCCTTCCCTCTCTCAGTGCTGCCTGGACCTCCCTGCATCCAGGGGCAGGAACCGCATTAGTGTTTGCTGCCTAGAGTCAGCCCTCCGTCCCATGCCCCAGCGCCCACCCCGCGGCTCTGCCCACCTGCTTGAAGTTGTGGATCATGGAGACAAACGCCTCTGCCGGAAGCAGCACCAGGACCATCGGCTCCTCCACCCAGGCCTCCTCTCCATCCTGCCAAAGCACCCAGAACCCAGCAGAGGGAGGCAAGTCAGCAGGTGCTCAGCACCTGCCAGAGGGACCCAGGCCTTCTAGAACAGCGGTCGCCAACCTTTCGGACCTCCTGGACCACTAATGGTCCGGACCACTAGTTGGCGATCGCTGCTCTCCAGGAAGGAGCTCACCCTATCAGTCTACCCATTTTGTTTTATTCGTTTTCTTCTGGAACGAAGTCGTGGTGGCAAGAACCAATAACCATGATCTCCCCCTCCCCCCCAGTCCTCAACTGTTTAGCATCTCAAAGGTAGTAGATAAGGAGCCTAGGCAGTGTGGCTCAGTGGTTGAGCACCATCCCATGCACCAAGAGCTCAGTGGATGGATTTCCTATCAGGGCACATGCCCAGATTGTGGGCTCGATCCCCAGTAGGAGATGCGCAGGAAGCAGCCAATTGATGTTGATGTTTCTCTCTTATCTTTGTTTCTATCTCTTCTCCTCTCCCACTCTCTAAAATCAATTTTTTGGAAAAAAAAAAAAAAAAAGGAACATTCACAAGTTGAAATGGGCTGAGAAATTTATGAGATCCAGACAAGAGAGCAAAAATATAATGTTTCAGCTATAGACTCTTAAAAATGCGGGGTCGAGTATTTTGGATTCGCAAAGAGGAGTGGAAGGTACAGGAGGTATAGTAACCTGGGTGCCCAGGCCAGGAAGGAGGATGTACTATGTGCCTGCTATGTGCTCAGTGCTTGGTTATCCCATTTAGTCCTTACAATAAGGGCGGGGAGGACTGGAAGGGATGTAACCGTATCCTCATTTTATACAAAGTGATGACATAACTTGCCCGGAGTCATAGCAATAAAGCCACGAGGCTGCAATTCAAACGTAAGCCCGCTATCCTCAAAGCCCGGTTAGAGGGAATTGGGAATCCTGTGTGGATTACCTCCCCTCTGCCCCACAGATCTCTCTCCTCCCTTCCCCACTCTGCTCTCTGCCCACACAGGGTGATCTCTGCGGACCATGTCACCAAGTCCACATGCCCCTGGCTGGTGGCCCTGGGGGTTAGAGGGAGGGAGGAGAGTAAACTCAGGGTATCTCTTTCCCTGGCTCCCTCCCAACAGGATCACCTAACATTTGCTATGCTCCTCTGTGGGAGGCCAAACCTCTTTCAAGGTGGTCTTCTCTACATTTCTCTCCTGGATTCCAGGAAACACTTTCTCCCCTCATCCCTTCAGGCCCAGGCACGATAACAGCTACCCAACCAGAGCGATTTTCCTCAAAGAAACATTTGCAACATCAGGAGACATTTTCAATGGTCATAACAGGGGAAGGTGCTTACTGGCACTGAGTGAGTAAATGGCAGGGATGCTGCTAAATGTTCTACAATGACAGGACAGCCCAGCACAACAGAATGATCCGAAATGACAACAGTCCCCGAGGTAGAGAAACCCTGACTCAACACTGATATCACCCTGAAGTATTGCACTGTCCTTTGCCGTTTCCTTGTACCCCACCCACGGCTTGGAAAATAGTGCCTTTATTAAATCCTCCTCAAATTATCTGAAGTTGAGTGCACCATCTGTTTTCCCGCTGGGGCCTTAGATGGCTAAGAGGGAGGAGGGAGAGGACAGACACAGCAGAAACCCTACCGCAGACGGCCCGGCCCTCCTCCTCCAGGCGAGGCTGCGAGGCACGGCCTGCGCCTCGATCACACAGCGGCACTCCATGGCCTGCAGCGCTCCGAGCAGCTGGCCCCCGCCTTCCATCTGTAAGAGCTCTGCAACACACGGAGAGGGCTGTCAGGGGGTGGCCCGGGAAGCGGGAAACTCAGCACAGGGCGAAGACAGGTGCTGGGAGGACCTGGGTCCAGCGCCACAGCGACGTGCTTTAAGCACTCCTCTGGCCTCAGGGCTTTTGGTCTGTTAGCCGGTGCTGCCTCTTTGTCCCTTGGCGGTGGTCTCCGGGTGCTTTCCTTCCGGCGTGCTCGTCCCTGTGAGCCTCTCCGCTGGACCTTCGGACTGTGCTTGGTTCTCTTCTGAGCTGGGCGGGCCTCAGCATTTGGTTTGGTTACTGATGAACTGAAGCTCCGGAGAGGGCAGGTGGCTTGTGAGACTGGAACCTGAGGGCATGGACTGTCTCCCATAGAGTCCGTGTTATTCAATGTACACCTTTCTGAGGGGTCTTGGAGGGGCACATCACAGATCTTTGGAAAGAGTTTTTCCCAGGCATGTGAGGCTCCTTCGGTATTCTGATGATCCAAAACGCTTTTAACTGGGGAGTTAGGATCCTCAGGGCTCAGCTGCTTGTGGGTCAAAAACTTACATGCAAGCCTCTCAGCCAGGGGAATGAGTTCCTCCTCATCCTCACTTCCACTGCTCAGCACCCTGACCGGCTGTGCTGATGTGATGATTTCAGCTGTGTCTGGGGTGGGTGGTGGATCTTTCCACCTTGGTGATGGGGGACAGGAGGCCTCAGAATCGGAGGTGTGAACTACTACGATCTTCTCCTCCCTCGGGGGCTGCCTCCTCTCTGTTGAACATGGTTCCTTCTTCAGAAAGGTAAATACCGGCAGCTCCTCAGCATCACTGGAAGAGTCCAGGGAGACTGATGACTTCTTTAGAGCCATTAATACGCACTATCAAATTAATTCTCTAAAAGACAAAGAAAGATGAGACAGACTGTGGCATTCAGTTCAGTCCATTAGATGTGTTTTGTAGCCAGGCTTTATGGAGATAAATAAGATATAGAGAAACAAAGAAATAGGGTATGTCCTCAACACATTCAACCTGGAACTCAGAAAGCTACACCTTTAGTCTAACAGGAACCTGCCTCAAATCCTTTCTGGGTCAAGGTGAGATATAAATGAATTGTAAGTTTCTAATACAAAATGTTAAGGGGGTAGTAACAAGATTCACACAACCCTCCCACATTGTTCTTTACATTTGAAATGGGGATGATAGAAGTCATCCTTAAAAAAAATAATTAACATCATGAAATTCATCCTTTTGAAGTGCATAATTCAGTGGTTCTTTGTATATTCACAAAGGTTGTGAAACCATCATTACTATCAAATTCCAGAATGTCTTCATCATATCCAAAAGAAACGCCAGAGCCATTGAGAAATCACTGTGTATTTCCTTCCCCCCAGCTCTTAGCAACCACAAATCTACCTTTTCCTGTTCTGGATATTTCGTATCAATGCAATCATACAATATGTTTCTTTCGCTTAGCATCCAAGATTTATTTTTGTTGCGACATGTTTCAGTACTTCATTGCTTTTTATGGCTGAATAATAGTGCAGTGTGTAGATATGCACATTTTGTTTATCCTTTCATCACTTGGACATTTGGCTTGTTTCCATTTGGGGGCTATTACGAATAATGCTGCCATTGCACAATGATGCACAAGTGTTTATGTGGATGTGTTTTCAATTCTCTCGCTAGGTATACAGTTACTAAGTCCGTGTGAGAGTCATTCTTGGAACTAATTTTTGTAACACTGGAGGGGTGAGCCGGGATAAGCCTTGTAACCCTCCTGGGCCTCGCTTTCTTCTTAGTCAAACAGGGATAATGCCAACACCTAGTTTATAAGGCTGTGAGAAGAGAAACCATGCATCTTCTACAGCGCTTACACCAGTATCTGGCACATACCGTAGTAGGAGCTCCGGAAAGTAAGCTTAAGGGATTAGGGAGGGGTCTCATCCCGGTCCCTTGGCAGAGTCTCCAAAGACCCTGCAAAACGAGGGAGTGGGACAGGCGGGCCCGCAGAGCCTGCTCCTCTGCCAGGCGGCTCCTTAGTTCACCCACACCCCGCGCGGAGGCCCAGGACGGCCAGGCCACCAAGTCCCTGTGGAGCAGGGCTCAGGAGAGAAGCGCAGCCCAGCCCACCCCGTCCGTAACCGTTTCCGCAACCGCACTGCGCGCATCAGCTCACCTGCAGCTTCTCCCGCTTCTCTTTGAATTGCCGCGCAGGACCCGGAAGTAAATCCCCCGATAGCGGAAGCAAAAGCTTTGTGAGACCGGAAGTGGGTGTACAGCAAACATGGCGTCGGCGGTGCTGGCGCTGACGACGCGGGCCGCTGGTAAAGGGCCGCGTGGCCGTTCCGGGGGGAGGAGTGGAGGTGGAGCGGGGACCTTGCAGGGAGCCATGGAGGCGGTGGTGCAGGCCGCTCCCTGCAAGGACCCTGGGTGCGAGGCGTGGGGGTCGGGGGACAGTGTGCGGGGCCACGAGGTTTGAAGGGCGGCTGTCGCTGATCACGTGACAAGCCCGGGCGCCGAGCTGTGGGTGGTGGTTGGAGGAACACGTGTGAGCCTTCCTGCCTGGAGTGTAAATACAGCTTCCCTAGCGGTGGGTGACATCGGCTCGCCGCTTCCCTCCTCGGGTTTTCTTTGGGCGCTTTCATCTGTGTAAATGGGTTTACTAGCATTGGACACTGAGCTCAAAAAGTTAATCTGTTGGCTCAACAGATGGAGTCTTTGTGCCAAACACTGGTGATCTCAGCAGAAAATAAGTCATAGTCTGTATCCCCCTGGACCCGTGGTCGGCAAACTGCGGCTCGCGAGCCACATGCGGCTCTTTGGCCCATGAGTGTGGCTCTTTTACTAAATACCATGGCCTGGGCGAGTCTGTTTTGAAGAAGTGGCGTAAGAAGAAGTTTAAGTTTAAAAAATTTGGCTCTCCAAAGAAATGTCAATTGTTGTACTGTTGATATTTGGCTCTGTTGACTAATGAGTTTGCCGACCACTGCCCTGGATGATTCTTTCTAGTGAATAAGCCAATAAATGAGCACAAATGAAACGTAAATAGTAACAAGTGCTGTGAAAGAAAGCAGGTGTGTGTGTGTGTGTGTGTGTGTGTGTGTGTGTGTGTGTGTAGGTTGAGTGGTCAGGAGAGCCCTCGGAGGAGGTAACATCTAAGTTAAGACCTGGAGGATGACAGGAAGCTTAGCTCTGTAAGAGTGAAGGGCAAAGAGTGATCTGGCTCAGTTTTAAACGTTGAGAAGCAAACTCTTGTTCTTACATGAATCTGGAAGGTTGGAGTGGAAGTCAGGAACCCAGGCTTCCTGAGAGATGAGAGAGGATTTAGGCGAGATGGTAGTGTCAGTGAACTTGGAGGCACATGGATGGATTTGAAGTCTGTTTTGGAGGTAGAACCCATTGCGCTTGCTGGTGAACTGAAGACTGAGATGAGCAAAAGGAAGGAATTTGCGATGATTCCCTGATTTCTGCCTGAGCAACTGCATAGGTGGTAGCATCACTTACTTTGCAAAGAAGGCTGAGAAGTAGAGTGAAGGGCAAAGATTTGTGAATGAGATCATGTAGGTAAAGCAAAAGCCCAGTTTCTGAGCTTAATACGTGAGTGAACCAATGAACCGGTATTTAAGTGGAGGTAGAGCAGCACATGTGTTTAATGTGTTGTCTAAGTCCTTCTCTCTGGTGTTTTGCCCCAGTGAGTCTCAGTTCTCATTAAAACTTCAAAAACTGCCGAAACCGGTTTGGCTCAGTGGATACAGCGTCGGGCCTGCGAACTGAAAGGTCCCAGGTTCGATTTCAGCCAAGGGCATGTACCTTGGTTGTGGGCACATCCCCAGTTGGGGGTGTGCAAGAAGCAGCTGATCTATGATTCTCTCATCGATGTTTCTTTTTTTTTTTTTTTTTAAATATATTTTATTGATTTTGTACAGAGAGGAAGGGAGAGAGACAGAGAGTTGGAAACATCGACGAGAGAGAGTTATCGATTAGCTGTCTCTTGCACACCCCTCACTGGGGATATGCCCGCAACCAAGGTACATGTCCTTGACCGGAATCGAACCCGGGTCCCTTCAGTCCCCAAGCCGACGCTCTATCCATTGAGCCAAACCGGTCTCGGCTCTCATCGATGTTTCTAACTCACTCTCCCTCTCTCTTCCTCTCTGTAAAAAAATCAATAAAATATATTTAAAAAAGAAACTTCAGAAACTTAGGCTTTAGGAACTCTGAACTTACAGGCTCCAGAGACTCACAAGATCTCTTATACCTGGCATGTCCCTGGTTCACCATGGCTGTGTCTGGAGACTTGAATGCAGGGACTGCCAACCCTGGGCTTGTCAGATAGCAAGGGGCTTTCATCTCGGTTAGTATGAATTTTAGTTCACTTTCCTTTTTAAAACAAATGCCACTGAGCACCTTAGAATGGGTATGGAGAGGTCGGATTCGCAGGGCAGTGTGTCAGCCCCCTTGGTTGGACCTGTGCTTGGTGGGCTTGCTGAAGAAAGGGTCAGCCTTCTGGATGCCCGGATCCTGTGGGAGCCATCCTTAGAGAAGCTGCTCTTGTTGTTTAAAGGATTTGGTGTGCAGTGGGTGGGAGGCAGCTAAGGAAGGGGTGGGTGTCTCTCTGGGTGTCCTGTGGCTGGGCTTTGTGGTCTGGTCCCTCCACAGTGTAGGAGCCTAGAGGGCATGATGGTGAGTGAGGCTGAAATAGGCAGCTCTGTGGTGTCCTCTTGCTGACTTCTATTTCTGCAGTGTTTGTTTCTCCTCAGCAGGGCACATGGTGTTTTGGGTTTTTCCCCCCCATTAATATTTTACTGCCCCATCCCTCATCCCCTGGCCACACACAAACATATCCCAAGCAGTGCTTACACTCTGGACAATACAAGGAATGACTTGTCTGTCTCCTACCCTGGGAGAAGGCCAAAGGCTTGAGACACTCCCTGAAAACCAAAACAGTCCAGTGGCATTCCTGCTCACCTATCTCCTCACCTCCCCTGCCACTGCCTCCCGCCACCCCTCAAACTAGCAAATGGCCACTGGGGCAGAGAAACAGGGTCTGTCTGAACGCATTTCTGTTCTCTGCAGCTGCAGCCCTGCTGAGGCCTCCTCCGGTGGCAGCTCTTGCCGTCAGATACGCATCCAAGAAGACGGGTGGCAGCTCCAAAAACCTCGGTGGAAAGTCACGAGGCAAAAGCTATGGCATCAAGAAATTGGAGGGTGAGGTTGCACCTTGGCTTTCATTTCCCCGCTGCACCCTGTCTTGTGCTCCGGCCTTCCTTTGCAGAGCAGGAGAACCTGGCCTAGTGCTCTCCGCTTAGCTCACCAGAGCATTGGGCTCCAGATTAGAGTCAGAGAAAGCCTGAGGCGGGTGTGGACCTTGAGGAAAAGCAGATAGTGTTAACCTTGGGCTTGCCACTCGGGGGAAGAGGCTGCTGGGTGGAGACAGGGAACTAGCTGCTCATGCGGGACCACCTGGGAGCTGGTGTTATCCAGGGGCAGGCTCAGAGGTTGGTGTGCAGCCTTTGGGTCAGGACAGTGTAGGCCACCATGTTTTCTCAGTAGTCTGTGTGCTGCCCCAGTCAGTGCACTGTGGACTTCTCTTCCAGGTCACTATGTTCATGCCGGCAACATCCTTGGGACTCAACGCCAATTTCGCTGGCACCCAGGCGCCCACGTGAGTTGTTTTGTGCCTTTTCCCCATCTATTTTCTCCATGCTCCTATGCACAGTAATCCCACATAATAAAGAGATAATAGACAAATTGCCCATCACTCCAACACAAAAGATGGCTGCCCCCATGTGTACACAAGATGGCCAATCGGGGAGGGAAGTTGTGGGCAATCAGGCCTGCAGGGGAGGGCAGTTGGGGGCAATCAAGCCAGCAGGGGAGGACAGTTGGGGGCAACCAGACCAGCTGGGGAGGGCAGTTAGGGTGACCAGGCCGGCAGAGGAAAGCAGTTTAGGGCAATTGGGCCAGCAGGGGAGCAGTTAGGTGTCAATCAAGCTAGCAGGGGAGTGATTGGGGGTGATCAGGCTAGCAGGTAGAAGCGGTTAGAGGCAATCAGGCAGGCAGGCAGGCAAGCAGTTGGGAGCCAGCAGTCCTGGATTGTGAGAGGGCAGTCAGACATCCCTCGAGGGTTACACATGGTAAGTACTATATGAAGTATTACCTAATATCATTATGTTTAATTAGCATATACATTATCCATATAGCTTTGGGCTGTTGTTTCATTAAAGCCTACACTTACAGGTCATTGTATAAATGAAAATGTGTGTCAGACTAGTGTTTAGTATGACAACTTTTTAGTCTACATGAAACAAGTCCTCAGGGGCAGAGAGTAGGGGCATTTCCTGGGCCTTTTGAGATCTGGCCAGGGTGGCTTCTAGCCAGCTGCGCAGACATGAGTAGCTCCTAGGGTCCCTTTCCCACCTGCCTGGCTTTCCCTGTAGCTGAGCAGGTCTGTGTGTTGCAGGTGGGGCTGGGGAAGAGGAAGTGTCTGTATGCCCTGGAGGAGGGGATCGTCCGCTACACGAAGGACGTCTATGTGCCCCACCCCAAGAACGCAGAGGCTGTGGATCTGGTCTCCAGGCTGCCCAAGGGCGCTGTGCTCTATAAGACTTTTGTCCACGTGGTTCCTGCCAAGCCTGAGGGCACCTTCAAACTGGTGGCTATGCTTTGAGCTCCTGGTCAAGGCTGTTGGATTGAGACTGGAGCCCAAGTGACAAGAGCGGGTGGTACCAGAAGTCAAGGGTTGGGGTGACAGCAAGGCTTCCTGGGGAAGAAGAGTATGAAGTGACTTTGGAGACCTGACCTGGGGGCAAGAATAAAGTTAGTTGAGTTGAGTCTGTGTATTTGGGGACAACCTGGCTGGAGCTGCTTATTGACTTGTTGGTCTTTCTGCATGTTGTGTAGTGCACACCAAGGGGGAACCTCCGGCAGGAAGGAGGAGCTTGAGCAAATGACAAGAGTGAACTGCTTTGGTGAGGGGATTGTTTTGTTCCATCCCCCAGAGGGGAGGGAAGAGGAGAGCTTGTGCTTGAGGGCGTCACTGCTTCCCCTCCTGGATCCCACAGAAGCTGGGCTGGGCCCTGGGAAGAGCAGGTAGGAGGAAGCACTCCAGAAATGGGCCCAGGACTCTGGCACCTTTCCACTGCCTGTACCTCAGTGAGGCGTCCCATGAGGCTGAAGCAGGGAGGGGAGCCGAGCGGTCCTGGGGATGATGAAGGATGCCTCGGAGTGAAGCTCAGGACTTAGATTTGGTTTCTGTTGAACCTCACAGCCAGCCAGGGGAGCTCCAACTTGCCCTGATCTCTGCACTTGGCATTCCCAGATTCCCTCCCAGCCCAACTGCCCCACTCCACATCCCATTGACCCAGGTAACTGGGCTCTGAATGCCAATTGGCTATCCTCTGGTCTTGGCTCCACCATGAATGGAACCTAGATGGCCATGGTTGCCTGGAAACCAGGCGTGCAGGCCACAGAATACAAAAGCCCTGGCTCTCCCTCCAAAGGAATTGTGCAGCACACGGGGCCCAGACTTCCCCAACCAGCCCCCACCCCACCACTATCCCACTGCCCGACCAGAATCCTGATCTTGGCCCCAGGGAAGGATTTCAAAGAAGCCTCAACAAGCCCAAGTCCCTAGACATCTAACCCTACAGAAAGGTGAGGTGAGAAACACTCGGCAGAGGAACTGCACTCAACACCACTCAGTGATGTGAATGGGGAGGTGGGACGTGTAGGAAAGGAGGGCCCTCACCCCCAAGCCTGTCCTCTGAACCTGTCAGGAATCAGTGGAGCCTGGTCCCTGGTCTGCAGTGATTCTAACTCATAGGGCCCAGACTTGCCTCCAGAGCAAAGGGGGCAGGGCTGGACTTGTGCTTCACACAGGTGTGCAAATTAGAATCACCTGTGGAAGCTTTGAGCCCAGACTTCGTCATGTTCCCACAGGAGGCCAATTAGCTCAGAGCCTTTGGTGATGGCCACGATCCACTGGACTAAAAGTGCAAAGGCAAAATGTTAGGCAGGTGTCAGTAATGAGGAACAAGGGCCTGGTGTGACAGTGGCAGGGACTGAACCGAGAGCACCGGGCCCACCCAAGCTCAAACAGGAAGACTGAAGACCTATACTAGCCTGCCAGTAGCATAGCCAGAGCCCGGGTCAAACTCGCAGGCTGGTCCGAGTCCTTAGCAAGCAGTTTAACTATTCTGATCTTTACTCCCTGGGTCCAGTGTGCTGAACTCAGTTTTTCTTTTTCTTTACCTAAGATTTGATATTAAAATATTCTAGAGAATGAGAGTAGAGCTTCTCGATGTTCACTGAAGTAGGGGCTAGAAGAAAACAGTTATCTTAGCCACTGAGCCCAAACACCATTTTCTGAGTTCTGGCTGTGAGGTGCCCACCCTGAGCAGAATGTAGTTACAGAGTGACAGGGAGGCCTGCTCCATCTGAAACCTGCTGCCACCACCTACTAGTTGTGACTGTGGGCTCATCATTCCAGTTTCCTGATGTGCTAAATGATGGTAATAAAAGTCTGCCTCAAAGGATTCTGAGGAGTAAGTGAGATATTGCACGCACAGTGGCTAAACAAATGGAAAACCCCAATGCCCTTATTGATGGTCAGGGGTGCCCTCTCCTGGCCACTAGGAAAACTTCACATGCAGCCAGGGCAGGAACTGAGCCCATTGTTCCCAGGCTGAGCCGATCAGGCCAGCGTGAGTGGCTGACAAAGGCCAAGAACCCTTCACCTTCACCCCCACGTGAAGTAAGGGGAAGGACTGCTACTGAGAACCCTTGCTAACAATGGCAGGAAAGGAGGAGGGAAAAGGTCTTGAGAAAAGGGGGGAAGCTGGATGACCATTTCCGCCATGGCCTTCCCAGGTCTGAGGGCAGTGGCCAGGGCCCTAAAGGGACAAGCTCTGAAGGTAGCGGCAGGCCATGGCCGGGACCCTCTGTTCTTGAGGGCGCTCCATACTCAGGGCTGGCGGGAAGTAGAGTGAGGAGGGCTTCTGGGATGGGCCCTGGGGATTCCCAGAGCAGCGGCATCAGCTTTGGCCTGGCAGCAGGGGAGGAAGAGCTGGGTCAGGACTCTCAGGAACCAAACTGGCTCTCTGGCAGGCCTCCTGGGAGGCGATGGAAAGTCTCTGGGCCTCGTTACCCCTCCGAAAAGGACAGCTGAATTAGATGGGTTTTTGCTTCCCTTCCGGTTCTTGGGTAGATTCTGAGCAGTCGCCATTCTGGAATGAGACCTCCACCTCGTGGCTGCCAAAGTATCAGCCAAGACTTTAGGAGAAGGAGGCCTAAAGGTGACGGCTTCCGACGCCCAGAGGAAAAACACAGAGGCTCGGCTTAGAGAGATAGAGATATATTTCTTCTGTTGCATATATCAGACTTTGCACTGAGCTTCAGGCACAATGCTGCTCCAGGTTCCGCTGAGGGCCCCGGCAGAGAATTCTTCCCATGCTGCTTGTGAGGGCTCACCCCTCAGGCAGAAGCCCAGGCCCTGCTTGCAGTTCTGGGTGCCTTGGGAGACTGCACTGGTCTCAGCAGGCCCCGGTGTCTTGCCTTTCCCATCAAGGAGCAGGGCATGCTGGGAAGCCCTAGAGCCAGCCCCATCCCCTCCCTACGGAGGAGAGGCTGTCCCACTCGAGTCCAGCTCTGCAGTGCTCCCCCAGATCACCTGTTCTCAGGTCCTCAGAGCCTGGCATGGCACTTACAGAGCCTCAGCCATGAGCACCAAGGCCCAGGCTGGGGGCGAGGCCCTGGAGAGGGAGGCAGGCCCCACCCCCAGAGCAACAGCAGATGGGCTCATCAGGCCCTGCTCCCCGGAGCCATGGCCCACTTCCTGGGGCTCCTCTGAGCCCTATTGCACATCTTTTGTTTCCAGTTCCTCCCCCACCGCCCATTTTCCTTAAAAAAAAAAAAAAAAAAAATAGCAGGGAAGGTTTAGAAGCGTGGGGCATGGAAACTGAAGCCCTTCTCCCCACATTCCTGCCACCCGCTGGTCCCCAGCAGAGCCATCAGCGGTCGTAAGGACTACGCCCACCTTCCTTGACGTCTGTGCAGGTTCTTGATGGCTGTCATGGGTTTGTTGCCTGGGCCTCTGGTCCTTGCGCGTGTGTGTGGGGGGTGGGGGGGACAGCCCTCCGTTGTCTGTAAGGTGCAGTTCCCCAGGTGTTCTGGAGGTGCTGGCTGGGCCCTGCTACCTGAGTCGCCCGTCTGCTTTGACAGGCCCCAGCTCCGATTTGGGGTCGGGGAACAGGGAGCTCCAGCTGGTCAGTCTGCAGAGCTCCAAGGAGGGGCAGGCAGAGGGGCCCGTGGCACAAAGTCCAGCCACAGACCAGAAGCCGCTCAGTTCCCCATCTGTCCAGGCCTCGAGCGCCGGGCCTGTGAGCAAGGCGTGCCGCCGGGCGGCCTCCTCAGCAGGCTCTGGCTGAGGCAGGCTCAGGATGCCACTCAGGCCCTGGAAACTCTGCTCCATGTACTCGTTGTGGGGGGGCCCGGCATGCAGCCAGCTGGCTTCATCTGGGGGTACAAGAGCCTGCGGTCAGCACACCTGGCCTCACTGATTCCATGACAGACCCGGCAAGTCAGGTCTGGGCACCCCAGTTTCTGTCCCCAAGTCTACTACTGAATCACACACACCTGGCCGAGTGACCTGGGCTCATCCACAGAACTTTCTGTGCCCATAAAACCATTAGTTTATAAAATCAAGACAGTCATTGCTGAATTCCCAGCTTGAGGATTAAGTAAAACAGTAGGTTTGAAGCACAACAGAAAATAAGGTAACCTTCCCGCCCCTTCTCAACCATCTCCAGTGGTTCCCAGACCCATCGGAAGCCTCATGCCCAGGCCCTCCGGCTGTGGGGCCCTGCTTTGCCAGCCTTCTTTCCTGCCACCCCCTGCACCCCACTCCCCTCCGCTCTGCTTCCCCCATGCCTGGACACCTGCCAGCTTTGTTCCCTCAGCTTAGAACACCCTTTGGTCCATAAAAACGCAGCCTGCTCAGGGCTCAGCTCCTATACCTGCCTGCTGTGAAGCTGCCTCCTGGGAAAGCAGGGGGGCGGCTGCCTGCTCAGGATCTGCCACAGCCCCCCACTACTCCATCCTCCTCTGGGTGACCCCCAGTCTGATCTGCCTTCTCTGTGATAGGATGTGGCCAGAGGATGGAAACATCTACCCACCTAACAAGGGGCCAAAGAGCCGCAGTTTGCCGACCGCAGGTCAAAGCTAAAAGCCCAATGAAAGTGTCAGAGCCAAGTTCCAAAGTCAAGTCTACCTGACTCCACAGCTCCCCTCTCACACCACAGCAGGGCCCAGGATGCTAAGGGGCAGACCATCAAGTTCCCAGCCTTCCCTCTTCCCCTCTCTAGCTATGGGGGGTGAGCTCTGATGGCCAGCTTCCCCGGGTCACCTCCCTGGCCTCTGGCACATCTGGGAATTAGATCCTTACCTTTCCTGAGAGGTAGTTTGCGGTTGAAGGTCAAGGGCAGCACGAGGAAGCGGGTCTCCCCCAGGGGTTCCCAAAACTGAAGCAGTCGAACCGTCCAGGCCCCTGGCCGCAGGGGCCGGCTCAGCGGGGGCTTGTACTGAGTGACCTCGGTCTCTGCATCCACCACGAGGTCGTAAGACGTGGCCACCACGTAGGTGGGGTCGATCCACACCACGGTGGCCGTGAGGTTGGGGCCCCGGGCCCAGCGCTGCATGGCCACAGGCTCATCCAATGGTCCCAGCAGCCCCCCAAAGTTCCGGAAAAGACGCTCTTTAGGGTCCCACTCGGTGCCAACCTGGAAGGAGGGAGGCAGCTGGGCAGGAGCCTGGGGACCAGTCCTCTCTACCCTGATGCTGCCTCTGACTCCCTGTGGGACCTTGAGCTGGTCACTGTCTCCTGCTGGGTCCCAGTTCCCCCACCTGCGAAGCGAAGGTCTTGGACTACAATTCTTTCTAGGCTCGCCTTCCCACCTGCTCTGCGGTGGTGGGGCAGGAAGGCAGATAGGGTTCAGGGCCCTGCCCAGAGACCACCCCACAGGAAGCCAAGGCCTCTGAGGAAGAGACTGAGAGACCGGGAAAGGCCTAAGCAACGGTCCAAGCCCCTCTAGAAGGAAGCCCTGCAGTTTAGAAGGTGAGGTTGCTTTACAGCGGAACCAGCCCCTCTCCGATCACTGCGCATCCTCTGCTCCCAGGGGGTGCTGCACCTCCACGCGTGCATGCAGAGGGGGCCAGGCATGTGCACGCGGCCTCGCCAAGGCTGCCGTCACTGGGTAAGAGGGGCCCGTGAACCCAGTCCTGAAAGGCCCAACCCAGTCCTCGTCCCCTCCCTTAGTGTCTGTCCCTCTCTTCCCTCTACCCTGAGTCTTGCGGGGGGTCAGATGTCCCACCTCCAAACTCTGGAGCCGGCTGGCCTGGTCACTGCGGCCCAACAGCTTCAGCGACCCCTGGGGCCTCAGCCACATCTCAAGCGTCTCTGCCGGCCCCTCGACTGAGGACTGCACCTCCTGCGTCACCAGGTAGCCCTGGAAATGGTCGTCATAGAAATACAGGTGCACGCTGGACGGCAAGCCCCTGGGCTCAAACCTAAGAAGGTTCCAGCAGGGAGAAAGGGAGATGCCATCAGCATATCCAACATGGTCCGGAGTCCCAGGGAGGGGGTTTTGGGGAGTCCCATTCCCAGGCACTTCCTTTGCCCTAAATCTCACACCCAAGCACCTCTGTGCTGTGTTTTAGTCGCCATTTCCCCCTGCCTGAGACTGGGGGCTCCCTGGGCGCCGGGGGCTCTCTTTCTGATTGGCTTCCCCCTAAGTCACCACACCTTGAGGGTCTGCAATGTGTGGGGTGGTCTCTGGGCAGGGCCTTGAACCCTATCTGCCTTCCTGCCCCGCCACCGCAGAGCAGGTGGGAAGGCGAGCCTAGAAGGTCTCACCTGCAGAGAGGGGTGGCTGGCGCCGGAGCAGTAGTGACGGCATGGCGTAGGCCGAGGCGGACAAAGGCGGTGTAAGCGGTGAGCATGACGTCACTGAGCCCACTGGGGCCATCGGCCACGTCATAGACGTTCTCCCAGTAGGCCTTGAGGGCCGGCGTGCCAGGCGGGTAGCTGCCATACAGGTGGAAGTCCAGAATTTCCAGGACCTCCTGGTTCACAGTGGACTCAAACTTCCGGGCGAAGAAGGTGGGCCTAGAGACTTGCTGGGGAGGGAGAGCAAGCGTGGGAAGGGGTCTGGAGGTCCCAGGGGCCCCTTCCAGCACCCCAGACTGGCCACAGTGATCCCCGAGCCCCGAGGGCAGCTCCAGGGGCAGGCCCTAGCTCCTCTGATCGGCCCACCCCGAGTCCTCCCTGACCTGGCGAAAGGCCGGGGGGAGGCTCTGGCCAGGGGCAGCGACGGGGGCCACGGGGAGCACCTGCAGCCGGAGGAAGTCCTGGGGCTTGAAGTCGTTGGGGGAGCAGCCGCACCAGTCCACGATGTGCTTGTACTGGCACTTGCAGCCCAGCTTGCGGTTCCAGTTGGTGACCCGCAGGTTGTTGTCCACGAGGCTCTCACAGGCCGGGCTGTTCTCCAGCACCGTGTGGAAGAAGGACTGCAGGGGGCAGGGCAGGGCGGGGCAGGGCAGGGCGGGCGGTGAGCCACGGGCACCCCACCCCCGTGCTCCCTCCCTGGCCTGGGTCAGGGCCGGGCCACCCACCTCGGCAGGGAGCAGCGTGTAGGTGTAGAACTGGCGCAGCTGGGCCACCAGCGGGTCGTCCGTGTACACCACGTACTCCACGAAACCACGCGTCAGCACGAACCAGTCGGAGCCGCCGTCCACCACGATGCCCGCTGGGATCTGCCGCTCGCCCAGGCGCCACATGTGCGAGTCGCACTCGTGGAAGAGCCGGTCCAGGCCCTGCTTCTTGATGAACCTGTGGGTCGCAGACCAGCCCAGGCTGGGGGGGTTCGTAGGGTGGGGTCCCACCCGCCCAAGAACCAGCACTCCTCCATCTGCGATTGGTTTACTGCGAGTCCACACCCTCTTGTGAGAGGGATTGTGTGGAGACCCCAGGGCCAGGCCCCCTCCCCCGGCCGCTCACCTGGAGTTGTCCCTGCCATGTGACTTGAGGAAATTCTTGTCCCGGTTCTTGGACAGGAAAGCCACCAGCTCCTCGTTGGTCCTGGAGAGGGAATGGGGTGAGGGGTTGCTCAGTCACTGGCCCAGAGCCAACTCTCTCCAGCCCTCGTCACCCTCACCCCTTGGCCTCCAGGCCAGTGCCCTACCCCCGAGGTGATGGGTACTTGAGGCCCCCGAGAAAGACCACCCCATCCTTCCTGTACCCCTTGCTGTCTGACCCAGCACCCCCCGGACACACCTCTGGCTCCTCCTCTTCCCCATCTCTTCTCACTCTCAATCCTCACCATTTACCAACCCCTTCCCTAAAACATGGCTGGGGCCGAAACCGGTTTGGCTCAGTGGTGGAGTGTCGGTCTACGGCCTGAAGGGTCCCAGGTTCAATTCCGGTCAAGGGCATGTGCCTTGGTTGCGGGCACATCCCCGGTAGGGGGTGTGCAGGAGGCAGCTGGTTGATGTTTCTCTCTCATCGACGTTTCTAGCTCTCTATCTCTCTCCCTTCCTCTCTGTAAAATATCAATAAAATATATTAAAAAAAAAAAAAAAAAAAAAAAAAAAAAAAGCATGGCAGGGGCCAAGAGCGAAGGAGTCTAGGCTGCATGGATCCCAGAATGAGGTCTGGGGAAAGGAAGGGGTCTACCAGGACCCTCTAACCCCAGTGCCCACAGGGGCCCCTTCCCATCAGGAGGTTCGGAGCGCCCCCCCACCTTGTTGGGTAGTCGGTGGCACTGAGGTTGATGAAGAAGTCCCAGGCCCAGCCGGGCACCTCCAGCAGGTCCTGCATGCTCCGCAGATACATCCTCAGCAGGCTGGCCCCGCCCCAGATGGTGACCATGCGCCAGGGCGTCACGCGAATGTTGTCATACCGCCGGGCCAGCTCCACCACCTCCCGGTGCAGGTAGTTGGAGCGCTAAGGGGGGGAGGGGGAGAGTCTCAGCAGCTGTAGGTGGGCCCTCGGCATTACGACCTCCACACCCACCCCACCCCACTCCACCCCGGGACAGAGTACACCTGGCAAGGAATGGCGAGCACATGCCACCTGGTGCCGGCTGCTCCCTATTCAACTCTGGGCCACCTGAGCAGGTCAGGAACCCCGTGTCCGCGCCCGCCCGGGTTCCCTCTGCTCACCCCGAACCCCGGGGCCTCCCCACGGCACCTTGTCCACGTGGATGTAAAAGAAGTGCCGCTCGTGGTAGACGGCCTTGAGGAGGCGCTTCAGCTGGCGGATGGCGCGGCCGTGGACCACCAGCATGTAGGCGATGCGCACCGGGGGGCCCTGCGCGGGCTGCTGGGCCCGGGTCTCCTCCCACTGCACGCCGGGGTTCACCTTCCCTGAGCAGAGAGCGGGCACCAGTGAGGCCCAGCCGTCCCAGTGGAGGCCCGATGGGAGCCCAACGCTCCGGGCCAGGCCCCCCCCAGCCACCCGGTGCGCCCGTCACCAGCTGGGCAAGGAGGTGCTGTGCCCCTCTGAGCTGTCTCCTCTGAAACGGGGTGGGGTCCCTGCCATGTCACCGCCCGGAGCTGCCACCTCTCCACCCAGGCCTGTTCCTTACCAGCCAGTGGGCAGTGCCGGGGCACAACCTTGGGCATGAGGCTCCCGGCCTGGTGCTGGCACACCACATTGGCGATCTCTTGCTGGCACTGCTTGGAGCTGGCCCGGGCCAGTGCGGACAGCGCGTCCTTGCCCAAAATCTCGCACTTCGGGGTGAAGCCATTGTCTGTGGGCTGGGGGGCGCCCTCCACGCTCCCCGTGTCTCCATGCGGGGGGAAGCCGGCTGCCCCGGCCAGCGCCTCCCCGGCGGCCGCCCCGCTCAGATTCTGGCGGCCGGGGGCCTCCGGGGGTGGGGCGGGAGGGACCCGCCGGCTAGCTCTGTGCCGGCTGGTCACTGCCCGCACCACTTTGGCCACGGGCACACCTGGGCTCTCGGCACGGCCCCGCCAGCGCCCATGCCTTCTGCCGGCGCTGCCCCGCCGCCCGGCCGAGCTGTCTGTGTCCTTGGAGCCCTCGCCGGGGTCCAGGGGCCGTGGCTTCCTCTGTCGTCCTTTCTGTGAAAGACAGGCAGGCCCCGGTCACTGGGACAGTCACTCCCCGCTGCTCCCTCAGCTTCCTGCTGGCCTCCGGCCGCGGAGCCCCTGCCTCCCTTTACCTAGAGAAGTAGTGTCCTCCCTCCAGCACCGCCGCACATGTCAGGCCGGCGGCCACCTTAGGGCCAGAGCCCCATCCCTCCACCCGAGCACCCACACCCTTTATGCCCCGCACCCAGCCAGCCAGCCAGCTCATCTCTTGAGAGGCGCCCCGGGAGAGCTGGGAGTGTTTATTCCCATCTGAGAAGAGGCATCTGTCAGAGGGAGGGCAGGGTGGGGAGGAGGCACAGACCCCGTCCTGTGCCCACGCAGGAGAGGGCACCTGGAACTGGGCCGTCCGCAGGAAAGCTGAGGGAGCTCCACTGAGCTGAGTGTCACCTGGCGCTGTCTGATCTGGCCACACGATGGACAAAGGTACCCTCAAGCTCAGGTGGGCAGGATGGCAGAGGAGCTGTGGGCTCTCAGGGTGGGAATCGGTATCAGCAAGTCAGAAAGCTGGGAGGGCAGGGGCCAGGGCACAGGGCCAGGCGGGCTGCGGTGGGGGACAGGATGTGGGAGGAGAGGGGCATGCTGGTGCCTGCACTGCAGCAGGGAGCTGGCTGACGCGGAGAAGGACAATCCCCAAGGAGGCTGGGGGGCCAGGAGTTAGCAGTGAGGAGTGGGGGGAGAAGAGGGTCCTTGGTGGACAGCCGGCCCCCAGCCCTGCCCCCTTGCAGGCATGTGCAGATGGGTAGCTAGCTACAGGGCTGTCTCAAATAGTCCGTGAGGTCAGAGTCCCTGAGGTCAGGGCCCCCTCTGATTGCTGAGGGTGGGGACTGTCCCTCTGACCTGGATGCCTTCTGGCCCCCAAGGCCCCCTCCTCCCCACTGTGGAGGCATTTGAAGTCTGCAACCCCTCAACCCCTGGGGATCCTCTGAGCCGGGGAGACAGCGCAGAACCGCTCACCCCACACCCACCCCCCTGGGCGTCTCAGGCCGCGTTTAAAACAAGCGGCGAGGCAGTGTTCGTGAAGGCTCGGTGAGCTGGCTCTCTGGATGTTAATGATCCTCCTGGCCCCTGCGCCAGCCCCCTGCACAGAGGGGCATCCTAAGTGCACACCGGATCCATCGCTGCGCAACCCTCTCCTGGGCTTGCCCACGGCACTTACACTAACACCCTCAGCCCTCCCTCCCTGTGGTCTCTGGGATGCATCCTGGACTAACTCCGGAGCCTTCATCCAGGGAGCATACCACACCCTCCCTCCATTCCTCGAAGGCAGGCGAGCCCATTCCACCCAGGGCTTCTGCCCAAACGCTGCCCCCCACTTCCCCAGGCTGACCGGCTCTTCTCGCTCACAAGCTACCTCCGCGCAGAAGCCTTCCCAGACCAAGAAACCAGCCCCTTGTTATTCTAATGAGTTTCCTTTCCCCTGGGGGGCTCTCCCTGCAGACTGTCTGCCCATGAGGGCTGCGATCCTGTCTATTTTGTTTATTTCTGCATTCTCAGCATTAGCATAGTGCTTACTCTACCAAGTAGGACTTAATAAATATTTGTTGAATGAATGAATGAATGAATGAATGAATGAGTCCCTACTCCAGTGTGCAGTGCTGGGATAATGAGTTATTTTCTGATGGCTTAGCAGATGCCAGGATCTCCTGCAGATACTTCACGGGCATCACTTTCATGCAATCTCTACAATCGCCCCACCAACGAGGTGCTGCTATTCTGATCCCCTTCTTGAGGGGAGACGCTGAGGGGGGGGGCACAGAGAGGTAGGGGACTGGTCAGTGGTCACCCACTGCTTAGCAGCAGCGCTGGAACGGGACACGGAATGGCCAAGGAGGGCAGTCGAACGTCAGTGCCCACCTCCCTAAGTTCTAGGTTCTGCTGCCTGGTGACCCCGAGATCTGGCCAGGTGGCTGCTGAGGGGGCCAAGCACTGATGGCATGTGGACTACACAGTCTTTCCATCACCGAGGATCACCTTCCATTCCCGCCCAGGATCTCCTCATCAGCTTCTGCCAGGAAGAGGTGGGAGGGGGGGATCCCAACCACTGCCCCCGGTCCCCACCCCAGGGCAGCAGGCTGGCCAGTCCCTCAGGCTGGCCAGAGCCTCTCGGGGCCATTGGTCTCTGAGAAGCCTCAGAGGTTTCGCTGGGCCCCTCCTCCCCAGAGGCTGCTGGCCCCTGCTCACCTCCTCCAGGGTCAGAGGCCTCCTGACTGCCTTGGCAGCCCATTCGGTCTTAGGATGTCTCCTCTGCCCAAAGAGCCTTCTCACACTGAGCCCCAAACATCCTCTTCCTCCTACTTATTGGGCCACACGGAATAAGCTCACTCCCTTCAGGTTCCCCGGAGCCAGCCTCCCACACCCCCACCCTCAGCTCCCCTCACCACCCCAGCCTCTTGGATCTCCCAAAAAAGGCAAGGACAGCTCTCCACCAGCCCCCACACCGGGCCTCCCGACGCCCAGATGCACAAAGGGACCGCGGACCCGGGGCTTCCTCTGGTCTTCACCCTGCCGGGTGGAGAGGCCCAGAAGGACAGGGCGCTGCAAACAGAGCACCTGCCTTAGAGCCAGCAAAACCCAGGGGGCAGGGTGGGCACAGGGGAGCTCTGCCCTCTGACCCACAGTGTAGGGCCAGGATTTGGCCTATCCTCCCCAACCTTCCAGGACAGCCACCCACAGACCCCACTGGACTCCTGACCACATTGGGAAGGACATACTCGGGCCTCTAGCTGAACCCATGGTCAGCCAAGGATGTCAGAACCTCAGGCCTTGGGGTGCAGGGACCAGGGAACGAGCAGGGTCTGCCCCGCTCCAGGGCCTGGGGCTCTACTCAGCCAGCCACCGCCGCCACCTCCCCCTGGGAGCCAATTCCCTGGGGTCAGCTCACCGGTTCACCCCCCACCCCACCCCCTCTGGCATCTCCTACCCAAGACCCACCCGTGCAGCCTCCTCGGATCCCTGGCGTCGCCGGGCTCAGAAAGCCACGCCTCGGACACTAGCAGGTCTCTCCCTCGGGGTCACTCCCTGTCCCCTCGGTTGCTGGACGGAGTTCCACCCCCGGCCTCCACTTCCCCACCGGCCGCTGCCCGGCAGGCGCGTCTGGGGGTCCCTGTGCCCCCTCGCCTCCGCCCGCGGGGCGCACACCAGCCCCCTCCCAACTTCAGAAAGTTTGGCCTGGGGCTCCCCACCCCGGAGCGGGCGCAGGCCCAGCCCCGCCTCCTGGCCCCGCTCCCCGCGCCTGACCTTCACTGCCCCCCCCAGGCCGGGACCACCCCACCGAGACCCGCTGCTCCCGCCCCGGCCCCGGCCCCGGCCCCGGCCCCGGCCCCGGGCCGCCTGCGGCCCGTGCCTCCGGGTCGCGCCCCGCCTCGCGTGCAGCGCCCCCAGGCCCGGCTGGGAAGGGGCGCCGGGAGCCCGCTGCCCCAGCTCCAGGCGGCCTCCGCGCCAGGCACGCCTGCGGCCCGCGCCCCACTTCCCCCGCCCCGGCCGCCCTGCGCCCCGCGGGGACCCCGCGCGCCCCGCGCCCGGCCTGCCCGCCCGGCCCCGGAGCACCTCGCCCGGCTCGTCCTCCTCCAGGCCGCTGAAGCTCCACACCACCAGGCCCTGCAGCAGCAGGATGGCGAGCGCCGTGGCGATGGCCAGCTTGTAGCGCCGCACCAGCTTCTGCACCCGCGCGCTCGCCACCATCTTCCTGCCCCGGCGCGGGGCGCGCGCTCAGCCCTGCAGCCCGGCCGCGGGCGCGCGCAGGCGCGAGGCCCCACGGCTCCCCCCACGCGGAGGCGGGAAGGGGCGCAGCGCGCCGGGAGGGGCGGGGCCGGGGCGGGGCCGGGGCGGGGCCCGCGGTCTGGAATCGCCGCGCCCTGCAGGCCGGGGGCGGGGCCGGGCGCGCAGGGCCGCCCGCTGGGCTGTGGTGGGTCGGGCGCGGCGCGGCTCTGGGACTCGGTCCAGGCACCTCCCTCCCTGTCTTTGCTGGATCCCAGTCCCGCGTGGGCTCATCTTCTCTTGGACCGCAAACCCATGGCTCCGCGGTGCGGAGATGCCTGCACCCCGACCTCTCTTCTGCCCGCCGCCCAGCGTTTGGGGGCGGGGAGGGGGAAATCAGCACATTCCTCGGACCCAGGCGCACGGAGAATGCCAGAGCCGCCAGCTGAGAGCTTGTACAGGTGACGCAGGCCCCTGCTTTTGTCGCGACCCCGGAGGCAGCACCTGTAGGGCAGTCTCACCCTCTTGGCTGGCATCGGAGGCCCTCACAAAGGCGCCTTTCCTTTCACCTCGCCCTCTCCTCTAAAGATCTCCTCTCAAATTCTAGGATGGATGCATCGGAATCCACTTGATCAAACATTGCTGGGTCGCGCCCCCAGAGTGTCCCCACTTTGGAAGGTCGGGCGTGGGGCCTGAGAATTGGAATTTTCAGATGGCGATGCTGCTCATCTCTTGGCCAAGCTCTAGCAGCTGTCCCCCATCGCCCTCCCTCCGGTGGCATCCCCCCCCAGGCGCGTCCCCAGCGCTGATCACTGCTGCTGGACTTTGGACATGCAGCCATGCGCAATGCATGTTGTGAAAGGAAGAGCCGGTGAGGCCCCACCTCCCGTTTCACCTGCTGACCTGTCGTGTTGGGAGAGCCTGGCATGTCCAAGCTCTGCGGCCACGGGTCTGAGCCCCTGCAAACCCCCCACCCCGCCCCCCCAACCCGGTAGGTGCGTGGAGAGAAGGCATGGGAGGAGAGGGAAGTCGGTGCCCACCAGCAGCCAGGGGCATGCCCAGCCAGGGGGAGCCAAGCAGCGTGAGAAGGAAGTGATAAGAAGAGCAAAACCAAGACTGAAGGTTTAAAATGAAGACTTTAGAACCATTACCGAGAGGTGGGGGGGGGGGGTGTGAGGATGGCTTTAACAAACAAGTTCAAAAGTAATGATGATGAAGGGGTTTGGGAGTTGCCAGGAGATTGGCTTGGTGAGGGACTTCTAGGCTGTGTGAGCACAGCAGAGCCAGTTATCCAGGTGGGCGATGGGGCACTGAAATAAACCGTTCTGCCCCACTGGTGTTTGTAATCATTGCATGCTTCGGTCTTAGTTAAACCAGAGGATTATAAACAATGTTTCAGATGACAGTTCGGCTACTTAAGAGAACTTACCCCATGGGTGTTTTGGAAAACATCAGTTGACATGCCAGCAATTGATATGTTAATTAAATATCGATCTTTGATCTTATGTGCTCATTAAATGAGGACCCCTGGGGACCTCTACGTGCCAATACTTCCCCCTCCCACCCCATGCTTTGTTTTCCACAGATTATATAAATAGCATATACTCATGACATAACATTTAAAACACAGAAAAAAATATAAGGAAAAAAAGTAAGTACCCTGCAATTCCACCCCCTGAGATAACCATCATTAATATTTTGGGGACCAACCTTTCCTCCCATCTCTATGCACATAATTTTGCATGGATGGAGTCACATCATACACATGGATTTTAAGCACAGAAACTTATTATTTTTTTAAAAAATATATTTAATTATTTTCTTACAGAGAGGAAGGGAGAGAGATAGAGAGCTAGAAACATCGATGAGAGAGAAACATCGACCAGCTACCTCCTGCACACCCCCCACCGGGGATGTACCCGCAACCAAGGTTCATGCCCTTGACCGGAATCAAACCTGGGACCCTTCTGTCCGCACACCGACGCTCTACCACTGAGCCAAACCGGCTTCGGCAAGACTTATTTTTAAGTAGTGTTTCTTTCCCCTCCCTCTCCATGTTAACAGTCTGTCTAGCTTGCTTCCTTCCTTAGGGACTTTTTTCCTTCTACCACTCTGTCTAGCAATTCACACACACACTCAGAGGTTTTATATTTTGAGGGGACAGGTGTTATATTTAAAAAGTTGCATCATGCCCAGCTGGCGTGACTCAGTGGTTGAGCATCGACCTATGAATCAGGAGGTCACGGTTAGATTCCCAGTCAGGGCACATGCCCAGGTTGTGGGTTTGATCCCCAGTAGGGGGTGTGCTGTGCAGGAGGCAGCCAATCAATGATTCTCTCTCATCATTGAAGTTTGTATCTCTCTCTCTCCTTCTCCCTTCTTCTCTGAAATCAATAAAATTATATTTTAAAAAGTTGAATCATATTAACATACAATTCTCTCCATCTTGCTTTTCTCCTTTAACTGTGAGTACATAGTAGAAATCCCGCCATGTTGGGGTGTAGGTCTTTTTACCAGTAATGGCTGCATAAGATTCCACTCCCTTCTTCAAAGGGCCTTCACTCACGTGCTTTCCAGATTGCTGCGACTACCAGGCTATAGTAAACATGGTTCTAGCCAGATCTCAATGAGTTATTGCCTTTATTTCCATGGTGGTTTTCCAGGAACGGTTTTACTGGGAATAGGGAAAATTTTTTTATTGTAATTCACATTTCCAATAACCACATATGAGAGAGAGTATTTCCAAGCAAGCCTTTCATCAGCAGGTGTGATCACTATTTTTAATTTTTGCTCCTCCGCTAGGTGAGAAGTGACCTCCTTGGTTTTTTAATTTGCGGTTCTCTGCTGGGGAGTGTCTGTTAATTGGTTTCTTGCCTGGATCTGCTATTGCCAGAATTGCCTCTTCCCCATCTTCATGAATTTATCTACTGCTGTTACATTATATGTCTTTCTCTTATCGATTTTAAGAGGTTTTTTTTTAATCCTTTTAAAATTTCTCTCAATTTATCACTGCACTGTGATGTAAGACCTTTTTTTAAATTTTTAAAAAAATATATTTTATTGATTTTGTACAGAGAGGAAGGGAGAGAGAGAGAGTCAGAAACATCGATGAGAGAGAGTCATCGATCAGCTGCCTCTTGCACACCCCCTACTGGGGATATGCCCGCAACCAAGGTACATGCCCTTGACCGGAATCGAACCCGGGACCTTTCAGTCTCAAAGCCAACGCTCTATCCATTGAGCCAAACCGGTTTCGGCTGATGTAAGACCTTTATAAAATTTTTAATTTAAGGGAAATCAAATGTGTTCCTCTTGTTTTATGACTTACCGTTCTCCGTTCTGGTCTAGTAGATCTCCTGATCTTAGAATAAGTATATGGTCTGGAGACATGCGTGTGAACCATTGGATTTATTGTCCATGAATGAATTCACAGACAAGGGAGGGGTAAGCAAAAGGGAAGAGACAGTTGCTACAGTTGGAAATAACTAAGCTCTCAGCATGCCAGAGGGGTCCCAGAAAAGGGTTGTCCAGAAGCTCACTAGTCTAGGGGTTTAAATTTCCTGCACTTGCCTTCCATTGGCTCTTTCAAAAAACACCAGCCAATCCCCTTTTGCCCTCATCTCCCCACGTTTAGTTCCCGCTCTTGGGTTCAGGGGAAGGGCAGCTCTGACTGTCTTGCTCACATCCTGACCATCAGCTCCTCTCCTCCTTATCTACCCTCTTCCCTCCCCGAGGCCCTTGCCCTAAACTGCCTGATCCCACCTAATCCTCAGCCATATATTTTCTCCCACAGTTTTCATTTTACAGCTTTACATGTAGGCCTTCAGAGCACCTGGAACTTGTTTTTGTGTACGCTATGAAGTAGAGATGTGGGGAGTCTTGACTAAGGTGACCAGATGTCCCGCTTTTGGTGGGACAGTCCCGATTCTTAACAATTTATCCCGTGTCCCAAGGCGTTTTAAAAAAGTCCTGATTGAATCTTTCCAAAAAGTGAAAGAACAAGTTTTAAAAGACGTTAGTAAGACACAAACAGGCTGAAAAACAGGGGAAACATCTCCGTGGACAAGAAAGAGAATTAACTGAAAAGCCGATCGGTGTGTAGGGGCCTTTGGGAACTAAAATGTTGCACATGGAATAGAGGCCGGAGCCAGACGCCCTGGCTGAAGCCAGGGCAGGAATGAGGCCGTCCCACTTGAGAAAGAAGGCTGCGGGGGAATGGCAACTGACCAGCTCTCAGGAGCCATTAGCAAAGCTAGGCTTAAGGAGGCAGCAGGGGAAAGACAGCCCTGCAATCAAGAATTGGGTCGAGCCGAGTCCGGTTTGGCTCAATGGATAGAGCGTCGGCTTGGGGACTGAAGGGTCCCGGGTTCGATTCCGGTCAAGGGCATGTACCTTGGTTGCGGGCACATCCCCAGTAGGGGGTGTGCAAGAGGCAACTGATTGATGACTCTCTCTCATCAATGTTTCTAACTCTCTGTCTCTCTCCCTTCCTCTCTGTACAAAATCAATAAAATATATTAAAAAAAGGAAAAAAAAAGAATTGGGTCGAGTTCTGGCCGGATAGCTCAGTTGGTTAGAGCGTCATCCTGATACACCAAGGTTGTGGGGTCCATCCCCGGTCAGGGCACATACAAGAATCAATCAATGAATGCATAAATAACTAGAACAACAAATCTCTTCTCTTTCTCTCTCTCCCTCTCTCTCTCTCTCTCTCTCTCTCTCTCTCTCTCTCTCTCCCTCTCTCTCTCTTTCTCTCTCTCTCTCTCTCTCCCCTCCCTCCCTCCTTTCATTTCTCTCTAAAATAATTTTTTTAAAAAGAAAACAATTGGGTTGAGCCATCTCTTAATGTTGAACAAGACCCCCAAATCAGCGAGGAGCACGTGTTCGAAGCTGTCCCCACATACCAGTCTGGAAGAGGGCACAGTGGGTGCCACCACAAAATTAAACCCACCAGACAAGAATGGAGAAAAAGCCGAAAACCGGTT